TATTTCTTTAAAAGTTTTATGTCTTATTTAAAAGCTTAAAGTGTAAGCTGTATCTAACATTCTTTTAGCGCGTCTAAGTAGTGTTGTGGGGAATGTATTAGTGTAGAAAGAGTAGTTTAGTAGGGTCTTGGCAAAAGTAAGCAACTTAGGTGTGTAAGCAACTCGCCCATGAAGTACGTTATATACTAAAGCTATATGTGTAAGGATTTTCTCTTTAGCTATTAGCTATAGCTAATATAGCTAATTCTTTACACACTAAGCATAATTTAGGCTATGTTAGCATAAACTAGCCTAGTATGTTTATAAAGTGTTATTTAAAGCTTAAAGTAAAGTTTAAGTATAACTATAACTATAAAAAAGCTTTTTATAAAAATTTTAAAGTAATTTAAAACAGTTTAGCCTTATTAAAAATATTAAAGCTAAGTATAGTATCTAGAATAATAACATATATAACTTTAATAAAATAAGCTTTAAAATAAGCTAAATATTTACTAACTATACTTATACTTAAAACTTTACTTTAAGCTTTAAATAACACTTTATAAATATTTTAGGCTAGTTTATGCTAATATAGCCTAGATTATACTTAGTGTATAAATAATTAGCTATATTAGCTATAGCTACTAGCTAAAAGAAAAGTCCTTATATATATAGCATAAGTATATGCTTAATAATTACCTACTTTTTATTATTACCTAGCTTTTATAAGTTAGCTATAGAATTAGCTTATAAAAGCTATTTAGTATAATAGTTATTTATTATTTTTTTAAAAACTTTATACATAGCTATAGCATGTTACTTTAAAAGTATTACATTTTATTTAAAAGCCTAAAGTGTAAGCTGTATCTAATGTTCTTTTAGCATGTTTAAGTAGTGTTGTTAGGAATATATTAGTGTAAAAAAAGTAGTTTAGTAGAGTCTTAGTAAAAGTAAGTAACTTAGGTGTGTAAGCAACTTGCTTAAGGAGTACGTTAACACCTATAGGCCTTGTATAAAAGGATATTAGAAAACTACTAAGCTGGCTAAGAGAAGAGGTGCGACTAAATAGAGGAATAGAGGTACAGCAGAGGGCAGGGCAGGGTCGGGGCTAGGTCGGGGTTGGGACCGATACAATAACCTTCTAGATAGGTTCCAAGCCATCCGAGATGGAACAATTCCTAAGAATCGTTACAAAAGTGCTATATAAACTACTAATTAGTATTAAAACTAGTTAAAAAGATAACATAAATGCGCCTAGTGCTATTAGATTATATAAGAACGTTAAAAACACCTACGCTAATAGTATTAAAGTTAGAGTTAGAGGGTTAAAGAGAAATATTTATGTAGAAGAATCTATTACTATTAGCACTATATAAAAGAGAAAAGAGCTAGAGGATTATATAATAAATTTTATAAAGTTAATGCTAAAGAAAAGAAGGTAAAGAGAGAGAGAAAACCTTATTATATACACCTCTTTATATAAAGATTGTGCACTATTCTACTATAAAACTCTACATAAACAGCCTATATACTACTAAACATTTACTAGATAATTGTAACAGCACAGGTAAGACAATAGGTCTAAATGCGGTGGGAATCCACTTAGAGGCATATAGAAGTGTGTGGGGACGATGAACCTAGGAATTTCTATTAACACCTATAGGCCTTGTACAAAGGATATTAGAAAACTACTAAGCTAGCTATAGAGGCAAGGTGCAGCTAAATACATAAAGGAATAGGGGTACAGTAGAGGGTAGAGCAGAGTTAGAACTAGGTTAAGTTAGGGTTAGAGCTAATACAAGAACCTTTTAGATAGGTTCTAGGCAACCTAAGATAGAATAATTTATAAGAATTATTACACTACCCTCTTCTTTATAAACTAATAGTCTTTATTAGTAATTTAGGTAAAAAATATTACTATTACTTCTTTTATTCTTAAACTAAACTAGGTCTAATTTAGCTAGGTGTTTTTACTTAAAGTATTCTTTTGTACTACTAGTAGTGTCTTCTAAACTAAATGCTATACATGTAGTTCTTAATTATTAGAGTAGCAAGTGTAATTTATTAATTAAAGATAATTTAGATAAAATAATAAAGTCTTTTTTATAAGTTCTTCTTTCTAGATTATACGCTATAAGGTAGGCTACTATAGCTTTAAAAAAGTTTACCTAAGTATGTTTAAAACTATAGTTTAGTACCTATAAGCTAAAAGAAAGCTTCTCTTATAAGTAGAATAACTAATCTAACTAGAATACTTTTTTTTAATAGCTACACTAATAAAGCGCGCTTTAAATGTAGAAAACACTTTCTTTTTACAAGTTGTTATCTCTGTTCTAGGGACTTCTGGCTGATCACGTGATTCTCGTGTTGCGCTGTTAGAAAGAAATTCCACTGCTGATTATCGCATAATCTAGTAGCTGTCTGACACTCGCTTATGGTCCACTCAGAGACTGTAACAGATAAACGTATAAAGCTAAATAATAGTAGCTTAAAGCTTTTGCTAGAAGATAGACTATTATTTATAAAGTTATTTATAAACTATAACTAACCTATTCTAATGTACAGCATTACTAGAGCAAGTTCTAACAAATAGAGTAAAGTATAAGCAGAATATAATTAAATAGACCTGCACAAACAAAAGAGAAGTAACTAGTATAAAAGGTAACTTTTTAGATAAAAATAAAAAGTTACTAGTGTTTATACACAGTAGCAGTGTTATAGTCTAGATACTAGTTATTGCGTAAGAAGGATTACATAACTATATTACATAATGCTTGTGCACAAACCTTTATGCGCGAACATGTAGATATTCTCCTTTTTATCTGTATACAGGAGAGAAGATAAGCAATAACTAGAAATCTGTTGCCTACCCTACCTACTCTATACACTGTACATGTAATGATTCTCATGAATCGTTCCATCTCGGGTCGCTCAGAACCTATCCGAAGGGTCCCCGTATCAGCCCTGACCCTAACTTAACCCTGTCCCCCGCAGTTACCTCTATTCTCTTAAGTATTTAGTTGCACTTTTTCTCTTAGCTAGCTTAGTAGTTTTCTAATATTCTTTTATGCAAGGCTTATAGGTTTTAATAGCATTCCTAGGTTTCTAAGTTCCTACGCACTTCTATATACCTCTAAGTAGATTCATACCGCATTTAGACCTATTATGTTGCCTGTGCCGTTACAACGTAGTTATATGTAGTTTATAAGCTTTATTTAAGCTACTTATTAAAGGTTTTTAAAATCACCTTTAAAGCTTTTAACTTATTATAGATAGTTTCTTTATTCTTAATTATAAAGTTGTTTGTTGCGTTAATAGTGCTTTTAATAAGCATATAGAAGTTTAATAAAGCTTTATGTTAAGCTTTATATAGCCTTAGGTTATTATAGTTGTCTTTATAAGCTATTATATAGAATTGCTAATTATTATAGTTTAGGTTAGAGACTATATAGTTAAGGCTTAGCTAACTGCTGCCTATATAAAAATTTATCACTATAGGCCTCTATAGCATAGAGTTAATCTATAGATTTTCTAGCTAGAGATTTAAGTTAATATACTCTTAGATACATTCTTTAGTTACTTAAGTTTTATTATAATTAAACTAGAGCTTCTAGTTACTCTCTTTAGTAAGCTATATAAAGACATTAATAGCTAAATTTATTTTAAAGTGTGTTAATAAAGTAAAAAGTTACTTATATAAATTAAGTAAGTTTTCTATTATTAAACAGTCTTAGTTTAGTAGCCTGCGCTTAGTAAACTACGCTTAGAATAGAAAAAAAGTTATTATTTAGTTAATTAAGCTTAGTTAGTAAGTAAACTATAATTAGTATATTTAGAATAGATAAAAAGTTGTTGTTTAGTAAATTAGGCTTAGCTAGTAAGCAAGCTATAATTAGTATGTATTAAACTTTACAAGGCTTCTATTAGCTAGATGCAAAAGCTAAATGTGTAGTAGTAACTATAGTACTAGTTAGAAGCGCAACTCTAGGCTTATAACTCTCGCATGAGCTAAGAAGAGGTTATAGGGTAAGCAAGTTAGCAAGGTATTAAGATCTAAACAAGGTGAATTATACTAGTGTATTGTAAGGTCTAAGAAGCCTGAGAGAGCTCTGGGTTGACTATATACTGTATGAGAAAGGAGCTAGTCCTAATGAGACACGTGCGACATGTTGTCGCGTTAAGTTACGACCAGGCGGACTGCCTTTCCACGAAAAGCGTCTTACCGATCGCAAGGCGTAGAAACTTTGCTTAGCAGTTTATATGCATCTCTTCAACGATGATTTTCCTCGAGACAGCCTCGTGTATCCGTCTCAGCCTCATCCTTCGAGAGCCTAGCAAGGTTTACGAGCTTGGACTCTCTTCTTATTGTCCGCGCCAAGTCTTAAAGATTTCACTGTTGACGCAACCGCTCGACTATTCTCGAGAGCGTCAGACTAAACGAATACCAAATTTCTAAATGAGATGAATGCGTACTGGTCGGTCAGCGATGAATCCTTGATGGCTTGCCGAAATCTGCAGGGCCGAGAGGTTGTATTCACCCGACAATTTCCTTTAAGGAGAAGCCTCAGCTTATCGAATCGACCGCACCTCAATTGAACAGTTGCGCTTCTAACGGGACCTAACATAACTACCACTCTGCCACAGACCAAGGTGTCGCGGGCAGCCTCGTGAGAAGAAAGCGGAGAACCCCGGTTTCAAAACCTCAGGGCTGCGATTTATTAGGCGAACGGTCATTAAGCATATTTCGACAACGTCGCTGGTCATAACGAACGTTGTGCTAGTTGTTGGCAGAGAGAGACTGGTCACTGACTTTGGGCCAGTGAAACGCGCCCAATCCTTCCATTCTCAATCTTCCAAGGTTCAATTCTTTAACCCAAGCCCCTGTTATTCCCGCTCCTCCACCCCTAATTTATTTTAGCAAAGTGTCTCTATCTTTACTCTGTGTACAAACGCACAAAATTGCCCGAAATACCCTCTTTCAGCCGCCCTAGGACAAAGGCTGCCCTCATGAGATAGGATCCTGAAGGATGGGGAATTGAACTTGAAACAAACGCTTCCAATCTCCGTGTCCTCGTTATTTCACAGCCTACCCCCAAATGGAGTCCGAAACGCAGTCTTGTTGGCTTGGCGATATGTTACAGTAAGGTGTGGCGTGGTTTCGTGCGTGATGTTTTTCGCGGGAATGGCGTGTGGCTGAACCCTACCTAGGTCTGTGCTCAATGACGGGTCTGAGCCCAATGGGGAAGGAAGCTATACCCTTTCCGGCTTGCGACTGAGCAGACCAGGAACCTTCATGCGCGATCTGATGAAGTGGAATGTTGGTTAGTTGGAGACTTGCCAACGGTATGTAACAAGGTTCACACTCAAAATATTGTGTATTTTATGCAAATATCCAGGTATTTAAGAAGCCAACACTGCCAACAAAGACTCACCAGTCTTGAGCACGCAAACCGACTTCTTTAGTCTGATTATTATAACCCTTTTCTATTCAAAATTTTCTAGGTTCCTTTCTGATTCACTAATTCAGAACGCCTCCCAACTCCCAAGATGTTTGCCGTGAAGGGGTTACAGGTCCTTTCAGTTCTTCTTCCTCTCGCTCACTCTGCCGTTGTTCCCCGTGAAGTAGTTCCTAGAGAGGAGGTTCACGTTGATGCAATCCGCCTCATGAAATGCGCCAATCTCTTCACCGTCAAGGCTGGAATTGGAGGCTGGGAGCAGGGCCAGGCAGCGTACTGGGAGCGAGAAACCGACTTTACGGCGCAACCTACCGATCGCGTTATTTTTGAGATGGTAAGCCTGATGCCCCTCCGTAGACGGTATGGAATATCTTTCGCTAACTGATGATATGTGCATAGTATACTGCAATGGAAGACAGCTTCTATAATGGCGCCAACAAACATTATGAAGGAAACTCTATAGGACCAGCAGCAACTCATTTCACAGTCGATTTCCAAGACCCGGGTGAAATCAAGCCGCCTAACAAGATCTGGGTTGGACGTGCTGTTTATGGTACCAACTCGTACAACTGCCTTACTGATGATGCATTCGAATACACGGACGATAAATATGGGAAGTGCTATTCCTACGCCCGGTGTGTTCAAAAGGATGCCCTCCAGGTTGCAGTTTCCGCATCCAAGGACAGCATCAGAGTCAGCGGCCTCCCACCAGCAAACGAAATCTATGCGCATCTCTCGGAAAGATATAACGACGCGACGCATACTTGCGATCCCACTCCCGTCGACCTAGGCGTCCAAGGGTGTAAAGTCCACTTTGTCTGCAACGACAACAACGCTGCAGTAGCCCAGGACCCCGCCGTTCTCCCAGCATTGCGAGAACAGATGACCAAATTCGGTGCAACAGCTTTGTTCACAACGGAAGTGGTTAATGAGCAGGTAATGAATGCTGGGTGCACACCTGCATGCTGGAATACTGTCGAACGAACCTATCGCACAATGCCAACGTTTGCTCAAATCATCGCTAGAGCCATACCCCAAGATAATTCAAGGTTTGGTTACGAAGTATCGAGGATGGAAGCACATATCAAGTGTGATCCAGATCCAGGAAATGAGGCCTTGTGTGGTGCTCTTGGATCTGTCTTCAGTCTTCTTGGCATGGTCCCTTCCTTTAGTAAGGTTGCAGAGTTTGCTGGCATTGGCGTCGAAACAGCTTGTAGTGCTACGAGCGGTTGATGAGCCAGGAAGGCTTGTCTACGAAGGGTTGTCATCTTCAGCTTATTTTCTCTTATGTTGTATATTTAGGAAAAGCACTTAAATCTTTTTAGAAAGACAACTTTCAAACAATTTAACGTTCACAATCATCTGACTAGTCTTAAACAGTAACGCCACATTCACAATATTCTAGGTGCATTTGTCACATACAACTATCCGCCTATATATATCCTTCTGCAGTGCTAGCTGGGAGGTTGACCTTTTGGCAAACGCAACAGCATTTCTCAAGAATTGCTGCTAAAGGAACCCTATTGTTTCACTGTCGTAGATGCATTCTTCTTCAAACAACTGAATATTCAATTAAATCACAAATTGAATGATATGCTAGAAGATATCGAGGCAATTTTACGTTCATCTGTATATCACGCTTCCGTCAATGACCATTCTCATACTCATCGTGTACACCATCCTTTCTGCAATGTCCCAGACAATGAGAGATTAATCCACAAGGCCACCCCGGCTTCCTCTTGCACTACCCCACGGCCGCTATGAGCCTATCATGGTGGCTACACCCATGAAATCGCTGTGAGAATGTCGGCATAGCTTCGAGCACACGTCCCCAAGCAACTTGAAGTCGCGTAGTCTTCAGAAAATGCGGCGGAAGTCTTGGTCGATAGGTTAGGTTGCATTTAGTGACCACGTTGGACACCACGCAGCGTAAGACGGGGCTGAACGGCTTGGGTGATGTAGACGCCACCTTGGCATACTCTCCCTAGGGGTAGCTAGGTAAATGTAGAGAAAGGGAAGTTGAAGTACGAGCCATTTTGCATGCAGATAGAAGAGGGTTTAGTCCAGTCGCATTACAACTTTCTGGGCAGTTCGAAGTCCTGCATGATCGACGGGTGGGAGAGCAAGCAGTCGTAGCTACGTCGGAAGTAAGCTACTGATCAACCAAATGATATCAACAACAGGCCCTGTCCATACAGAAGCAGGCGTAACGCATGTATCCTATTGTGGGCCTGTTAGAGACGGGCTATTTGTGAGTGCGCTGTAAGTGTAAGGAAAACCGTAGGTAGTTAGCATGTTAATTTATTATGGAGCAGATGTGCCAAATAGAATTGGAGTGGGGGTCGAGATAGAGCTGCTGGGGTAGTGGAACGGGTGGAGGCAGCAATGAAGGAACAGCATTGCTTGGCAGCAGTGTGAAAAGTGGTCACTGGGTTGAAGATCAAGCGGCTAGATACCGTTTATGTTGTCGTGGGCGATGCCCATATTCCGTAACAACTACTCAGGCCGTCACTACAAAATAATGCCCAAGAACAAGCCACAAATATGCTTAGACACAGAGGGCCTGATATAAGACACGATACCCACATTTTGCAGTTGATTTAGGAGAAATTTGGGAATGATGCAGGCGATTACAGAATTACGAATTCTTCCAACGAGCGCGAAGGTTATAATACGCCCAAAGTCCCCATAGCTTTATAATGGCTCACGGGCCTCAAATATTGGTCACAATCGGGTGAAGATACATGCTAGTAGGAAATGGTGGAGGTGTCAACTCGGCGTCTGAGGTTAATTTAAATGAAGACAAAGTTCCACATCGCCGCCTCCGGAGCTGCAGTAGCGAGAGTGGCTAAAGAGTAACACGATGTGAGATGCAGAGCCCGTGAAGGGAGAATGTATGAGAATGAACACAAAAGGGACTAAAGGAGACTGAGGAAAATAGGGAAGCTCAAAATGGTAGTGCCTCCCGCCCGTGAATTACAATAAAGCAACGAACCCGTGCGAGACTATAGCTCATAGAACTCACATTCGCCTCTATGGAAAAGGGTCGGATTGTAAATTATACCACCATGGAACGAGGCGTCATGCCGCGAGAGATCTTCTTTTAGAATTTTAAGCATCTTTGAGACAAGCCGAGCGTTCTGGCAGAGCAGGGCAGAGCCCGCCGACACAAACCCTTCGTTCGTGAAGGGTAGAGAGATGCAGTCCAGGTAAGGTTTGGTAGGTAAAAGTCAGAGCCAACCCAACTTCCATGGGTTATTTCCATCATGATCCAGCATGTTGGGGTACGGCATTCCCCTAGTAATTGAAGGTGGGGTGTCCGGGAAATGATCCACGTTCACTTGCAGTTCACTTGCAGTTCACATGATAACAAGAGTCCAAGTCCTCCGAATGGCTACGATACGCATATTTGGGGGGTAACGCTGCCATTAATTATCTTAGCAATATCCTTCATCCACTTGAGCAAGATCGCCTCCCCAAGTAGTATAAGTGACTGGGTAGGAGTGCAGAAGAATACTGCTAAACCTGAATTGAGGGGGAAGAGGCTGAATTCGCGTCGGTCAAAGGGCCATGACGAAGGCCTAAAGAGTACTTCTCGAAGCTTCGCCGATATAAGGAAACAGAATCAGAAACAGAAGTAGACGGATAGTTTTCGCCGCCCCAGACGGGGCCAGAATGAGGAAAGGGCGCGAAAGGTAATGTCTTAGAAACTCTTAGCGGATGAGCTAAGAGCGCAACACTTCTCTCGAAAATGCTCTATTTTCTCACAGGGCGTAACTTCCAGAACGTGAGAAAGGTGCACGGCTGAGAGGGCAAGTACTAGAATTTTACGTGAGAGCTTCAGGAACATAGGCGTACGGCAGGGAGCCTGAAAACTATCAATCCTCCAGTCGATTGGAACATCGTCAGAACCAAGAACAGGCAATAAGCACCTTAGCTATTCTTAGCTATTCTTGGACTGACGGCTCTCACAGGATTGACGACTTGTCGCCGACCGACCGACGATCAAACAGGACGCAGCGCAGGTCATGCACCTGCATGGATCAAGGGCAGCCCAATGTGGTGGCGCACCTGTATTCTGTGGACCAACAAATCGCATTACTCGCGGCTATCTGAAACCCCAAAATCGCGTGAAGATCAATAATACCAAACACCCATCACCAGCTGCATATGAAATCTGCAAAAGTTGTCGATCTCCAGCAACCATATCGCATAAGAAAATCATGTTCGCGAATACGAGCAACCTCATCCTCTAGCGGCAGTACGCCTGACTAGCTCGTTGACCCAAGAAAACTCTGAGAGTGACCTCGAGATTACGATTTCGTCTCGTAGCTGAGGATTGGTACCTTCTCTTCATCCTTCAGCAGGAAATTCCACATGCAGTCTGCTGCAACTTTCGCCCCATCCATATCGTTGATCTTCTCAGCAAGAGCCCTTGCATTCGACCTGTAGCTAGCGTCCCGCTGTACCTTTTGCACAGCCTCGCGGATGGCCTTAGGGTTCCAGTGTTGTCGCTGCACACGGATACCAACTCCGGCGTTCATTGCATTGTCGAGATTGGTCTGCTGCTCGATCTGCAATGCCACGCCAACAATGGGGGTACCTGCCGCCATTGCAGTCTGTACTGTGCCCTGACCACCATGGATGACAGCAACATCTGCCAGTGCAGTCGCCTTCAGAGCAGGGATGAATCGGTCCGTCACAAGCAGGCGCGGATCATTGCCTGCGACGGCACGGGCTTCGTCTGGTGAGCAAATTGATGGCGATGCAAGGACAACAATATTCCAGTCGTCATTGGGAGACATGGTGAAAGCGCGAATGGCCTCGAAAAGGAATTCTTCGGTACCGGAGCTACCCATTGTGACAAGAATAGCGGGGCCGGGGCCTTTGCGCATGTGTGCAACAATATCCGCATCGAGCTCAGCGTCGCTCTTTGCAAAGAGTGGGCCCGTTATAGCGATATTGCGTGGCAGTCGGTCGGAGTAGTCGGCGTGGAATACTGGGTGGTCGTTGACAAGATTTAGGTCAGCCATATTCATATCAAAAAGGCTTATCGGCCCCTTGATAGGCTAGCCACATGCGGCGGCGGCAGCGCCAAGTCGATGTTGACGAAAAATGGGCGCACGTATCATCAGGCCGCTCCCCCACCATGCTAGCTTCTGGCGGATAGGGCGAGGCAGACGAGTGAATAGCGGCATCATGTCAGGTAGGTCCCGGATTAAGCCATTGGTGAAACTAGATGGGTGTAGCGGCACAGGAAGGAAGTTGATAGTCCGTATGCCAAGTAAGCGTGCTGCAATGCTAGCAGGAGCCCACATTCCGTGGAACACAGCATCTGGTCGTAGAGAACGGAAAGCTTCCAGCTGGCCATCGATGAAGGTTTTGGCAATTTGCTCCGAGCCAAAGAATTCTGGAAAATCCCATCCCAAATCGTGGGCAACGCTGCGGCCTTTGACACGGGGTTGACAGGCGACAATTTCGAAACCAGCACTTGTGATCAAGTGCTCGAAACGACTTCCGCATGAAAGGAAGGTGATCTTTAGGTCGTGTCCAAGGGGACAGCTCTCCCGCAGCGCGACAGCTATGGCGATGGCTCTCGTAGCATCTCCGGCGTCTTGGAAAGCCACACTGACGACGAGGTGGGTGCTTGTAGTCGCCATAACGTCGTAGGAGTGCGAGGACCGGGCGGGGTTGTGAAGGTTGTGGTTTAGAGGCAGGGGGTGAGGTTGTATTGAGAGTTGTATGAAGAATTGTAATGAGAGTTGTATGAGTTGGGGTATTGAGTATTGGGGGACTATGAATAGTAGATTGCAATGAGGGGTTGTTGAACGTTGCTAACGATCTCGAGCACTTTATATCGAGCACCCTGGGTCGTCAAGATGTTCATGCCCGACGGGCTGCACTCGCCGATGATCCGGTCATGCTCTGAAAGATACGGAGTGATACACTGCCTCCACGTGCTCCTGAGATCTAAGCCGAAAAAAGTAGTAGGCGTGCACAGCTCGATGTGCTAGATGTTATGCCGAACTCTAAACCAAGACAAGTAAAAGCCTTGCATACTTGCATCAAGCTGATCACCCTTGTGGGGAACCGGAAAAAGCAGACGGAGAGAATATGATTGAGGCTTTGTTTGCAAGACTTGCTTATCTGAGCTTCGTATTCAGGATTTCATTATCTAGTTGCGACGTTTAGATTTGCTGAGTGCAGATACAAGGAATGCTGTGGGTCCGGGTAATTGATCCATGAATAGAATCATCAACCCCAGCTTCCGACGGCAAAGGCGTTCCCAGAACCCGGGATCCTTAGGATCATAGCGTCTCAACAGGCTTCCTCTCCAGAGCAAGTGACATTTCGGACTGAGCTCCGCGAAAGGACCAAGCCGAATACCTCGATGATATCGGCGACTCGATGTCGTCGTGCGAGAATGTATCAATGATAATTGATGACATCTCAGACTCAAAATCACGGGAAACATGTCGAATAACTGCCAGCTCTGCGCCTGCGTTCTGGCGGAAGGCCTCAAAACTCAGACTCTCCTCCTCGTCCCTTACAGGATAAGCTCCTGCAGGTGGTGCCGCCACTTCTTTGACACTACGCCACTCCATCCCAATAGCAGCCAAAAAGCTCAAGCAAGCGACTATGAGAGCCACGAAAAATGTGCCCTTGACAAGACTGTAGTTGTAAGCCTCCTTCACCAGTGGCTGGAGACTCACTGGCACGGCGCCTCTAAAAGACGTCGCACCTAAGTGGAGAACGTGCATTGGGTCGATGCCTCTGATGTCCCCGAGCTTCATTATGAATTTGTCCATGAAAACGTTTTGGCCCACAGCGACGAATACTGCCCCGCCTAGAGTCTGACAGAATGACAGCAGTGCGGTACCCGATGGAACATCTTCTTTTGGTAAAACGATTTGGACCGCGAGGTTGGGGTGTTGCATAGAAAACCCCACTCCGAGACCGAGGATGACTTGATATCCAATCCATTCGGAGTGGCCGGTGTTTGCAGTCCAAGTTGTAAGCAGGCCCGCACCAATTGACATCAGAATCGAACCCATAATCATAAACGGAGTGTAGTAGCCAAATCGTTGGACCAAGCCACCACTAAGGATTGATCCGACGACCACGGAAAGAACAAGCGGTATCATATCGATCCCTGACTTCATCGCAGATGCATCTTTGATTGCTTGAAACCAGATTGGGAGATAAATTGACACAGTCAGCATGGTGGATCCGACCAAAAATTGGGATAAGCCACCAAATGCAACACTGCGCTGGAAGATGATGCGGGCCGGAACTGTGGCTGTGGTGCGCCGGGTCAGGTACTGTAGGGCGATGAAGGCTACGAATAGAATAGCGAAAACGGCCAGAAGCGCAATCATTCGAGGTTCCGACCATGCATGCTCTGTTCCTCCCCACTGTAATGCGAGGAGCAAGCATGTGATGGAAGGAATAAAGATCAGCGTGCCGAGAGGGTCGAGGTTGATGAACATTTCTTTCCAGGGGAGTTTTGGCTTTGTTTCGTCGAGGTGAACGAAGAGCATAGATACCGCAATGGTGATGGCACCAAGAGGCAAGTTGATGTAGAAACACCATCTCCATGTAGCCTTGGATCCCGTGAAAGCGCCGCCCAACAAAGGACCGGTGACAGATGCAACGCCGAAGCAGGCGCCAAAGAGACCTTGGAGCATCGGCCTACGATGCAGAGGAACGATATGCAACATGATAAGGATGGCACCTGTGAAGATTCCAGAAGAGCCCAGCCCCGCTATAGCACGTCCGACGATCAGGATCAGAGAATTAGGCGCAGCACCGCAAATTGCGGAGCCGATCTCGAAGAGCAGAATTCCTGATAAGAACACCCACTTTGTGGGTAGGAAGGTGTAGATTCTACCGTAGAGGAGGATAAAGCCGCATGCTGTCAACATGTATGCGGAACCGTACCAGCCAACGTCGTCGAGGGAGTGGAACTGATTGGTGATCTCTGGGATCGCAGGACCAATTATCGTACGATCGAGCGCGACGAGGAAAATGGAGATGTAGAGGGAGAACATAATGAGTGCGACCTTGGCACGTCCCGGATAGTCTGGTGGCTGATCATCCTGGCGGAACTCTGCCGTATGTGTTGAGGCAACGTACTGTGAATCCTGTGAAGGCCAACGCGTGTGTTCGAGTTTCGAGCGTCGAAGTGGTGTGTGTTTGAAGGTCATATTGACGAAGTGATGAGGATTTGGTGGTGAAAGTAGACGCAGGTCCTCTAGATATTAAGGACGTGAGAAATATTTCGGGTTGATTAGATCATTGATTGAAGACTGAGGGGGTCGTAGGCTCGCAAGCAAGCACTCTACGGATAGGTCCGCTGAAAGGTCAGCATCCTGCTTATGCAGGCAGCCCAGGGCCAGCTCAAAGCCACGGCCGGCTGTGTACTCGTGGTGTATCGGTAAATTGCTTGCAGAAATGCTTCGGGGAATGGCGGGGCCGGAGCACAGCATGATGTTGAGCACAACATGCCTAGGAACCCGCCATGCAAAATAATTGTCTGCCCAAAACTTTGCGATCGGAGAGATTTTCGTAACTCGATACGAGATGAGGTCAGAGCCTGCGATTTGTTAACCAACTTCACAAAACCGGTACTGGCTGTTGATCGGTTCCTCATCATGTACCGGCCAAGGCTACAGCATCATCGGAGGTTCGGGTTGTCAAACGCCGTGACGATAGGCACCATGCGCCATCATTCGTCAAACAAAACTGTTTTTCAAACTAGAAATTGGTTAGCGCTACGTTGTGGTATCAGCTAGAGTTGTTGCTACTTGCTCTGCGCGTAACAGCGACCATCGAAGATGAAGGATGGTTACAACACAGCCATCCCAGAACGATACACTCAAAAGGCTCCTCATTCTCCAGTATTCCGGGGTTCGATGCGGTTTCATTGGCGCGCCGCCGACGGCCCTTCGCGTTCTTGATCGGGGAGGATACAAATTTCTGGAAATTGTCATTCCGAGGTGCGTACACCAAGAGTTTTCGTCTGGTTGTCTCACCAAATGTAGTAGGGTTCGAGCGGGTTTATTATACTCCTCTAGGAAATCGAAGAAGAGCAGATCGGCATCACCCAAAGCTGTTGCGCAGGGTATGTCAGCGTCCCTCGTGCAGTCTAGGTGCATTTCGATATTGAAGAGTCCCATGGGGTATACCAGGGATTAATGATGGGAAAGAGTTCTTCAAGATAATATACCGGGAAACCTGGAAATGTGGAGACAAGCCGTGTAGAAGAAACCAATCCGGGTATTTGAGACATCCATGTTGACGACTGATAAGGGACTGCTTCATCGAGGCCCTGCTCAATCTACGTTCTGAGTGCAGCAAAAGAACGAGACGTGGGGATTTAAAGTATTCAGCCTTACCTATTTCCTAAGGATGCCAGTGTGCGTCAGTCCATTATTCGGAGAAAACGCTCAATCGAAGGAACCACAACAACCACCAGCAGGCCAAAAGAATGAATTTAAACCTCCCGCGCTGATGTAAGAACTCTCATGAAATCGTGGAGGTGACGCGTTACTTCAGAAATAGCCAAATAGACAGTAAGCTATTGGTCTGATTCTGATTTGGGGGACGCATACAGCCTGCAGCGGTTATCCGTCATCAACACCATTCATCAACAAGGTCTCGGCATCGTCCCCTCCAATCAGTGTTTGGACCAATAATCGAATGGTAGTAATGAGCCATGCTTCGCGCAAATAGAATCCTATCGCCGTCCTACATGAGCTATAAAACCTTGTGCAACTGTTACATTGTGGCTGGCCGGCTTCGGAAATGCAGGTAGCAGTTATCAGATCTGATAGAAGGATTACTGCATCCAAGAAAGGAATTGTGGATTGTTTTGGCGAATGAGTAATGGGGATGGACTGCCACAGGCGATTCGAACGACTTGAGACGAAACCTGATTGTGCCCTAGGTGACAAGTCCTTAAAAGGGCTATTTACAAGCCTTCCGATGACGAAGACAGCTCCGTCCCTGCCGTCAGCGACGCGTTCGAGGGGCTTCTGGTGGGGCAGGGCTAGGCATGGCATCAGCAAGAAATTCTTTAGACAAGTATTTAACAAGAAAAGCTTGTGAAACCTACCAAGCGACGCTTACGCTTCCCCGAGGCCCCGGCGGTGGCAATCTCTGCTATCTCTTGGCTCTGCATGGCAGCCTGGATACTTAATCTTAACATCACTTCAACCATCGAATTTCAATCTTGCGTCGAGTCCCCTCGAAGAATTTAAACGCATGCAGTGGAGGCGGGTCGTAACACGACGTCACCATGCTGTCGATTCATTCGTTTGCCAATCGAGAACGGAGCGCGGGGTGAGCACTTGAACGAATTCCATGCTCGAAGCTGGATGTATTACAACCCTTTCGTGGCGACTGCAACGTGTCATATGGATTCCGATCGCCATCATCAAAATGCGCATAGGCCGCGAGGTTGCATGCTGCCAAGCCCGGACTCCTCAACTCGTCAACAACAACCAGGTTTCATATCTGGGGTGAATTGACGTTCTACAGAAGCCGAAAGCACAGCCCGTCGTGGCCTTTTTGATGACTAACGGTATGTCAGAGCCTTCGTCCTTGAACAAACATAATGCCCCAAATTCCAGTCCTAATTTTCCATCATTTAGTATGCGCTATTTTCCCTTCGTATAAATTCCGTTACTATCTCAAAATACTAGTTCCGTTATTATATTCATAAGTACTCTTCCATAAATATGTGGGACAACCCCTCAAAGACGTCAGCAAGTAGTCGGAGGGGATAGGGACATGGATAACTGCTATAAGGTCACAGACATTCATGCATTGTAACACAGACAGAGACGAAGCTTTGGCTATCTGGCTTTGAGGCTTCTAGCCCCAAACACAACTTTCTAAAGGAGCCTAGGATTGTCGCAAGGGCAGACTTTGAGTACCAACTTTTCAGGGGCTTGGTTAGGCGCTTCCAGTGGCTCATACTTTCAGCTCAGCATGTGGATAACCAGCACACGAAGCAACTGCAACCATAAATTATAGCTTGTTGTAGACGATTCAAAGTGTTGTAGGCAAAGTTTTGTTAGCAGGTTTCTTCTGAGCTGTGTGCTGCCCTCAGATTCATCGTATCGAACAGGACTGTATTCATGACTTAACCTGATATCGAAATCTGTTGTTAATGAACCTGTGTCTCCTCCAACACGTTTCCAGCCTTCAAGTGAGCTCTTGAATGAGAGCAGATATATTCTATCGCAGAGTTAGTTATGAAGCTGATGGATGATAGAGGAGGGCGTATGGAGTTTCGAGTATTCAACTAGGCGGTGAGAGCCAAACTGGGTAGATTGAGCTGAAGTGTAAGGTCTCTCGAGCTCGAGAGAGCTCTGGGGCAACTATATAGCCGATAAAATAGGGCTAGTCCCACCCAGATGCGCTAGTCTTCAATGGGAAACGGGTGTAGTCGAGGACCCACATTCACCCTAATGCAGGGTCACGTGGAACAATGACACGTGCGACATGTTCAGGGGGTATCTAGAGGCTTTAAACCAAGAGTCTGTCGCTCTAAGTATAAATAGTTCGGGGCAAAAGTCTGCAGCTAAGAGAATGGGAAGACGCACTCTCCTAGCCTTTCTGATTTGCTAATAGTAAGACTCGAAACTACAAGAGGTATTTAAGTGAATGATGTTCCAAGTGCTAGCCTTGTCGATGCCCATACTGATTGCAATAGTTGCCCCAACAATCACGTCGCTGCTCCTCAGACGCTTGTCCTAGATTTGTTCTTCGATTTTGTTGTTCATTCCGCGGTAGCATTGTTTCCCCCTCAAGCCACGATATAGCGTGTGATCAATCTACATGCTCGTTGCTTTCTGTCATGCTACATAAACGATCATAGGTCTCTAGCCTAGAGCCACTAATGGCCAGCAACCGCAGGTCATGGTGATATACAGTTATGGTAAAAAGGCCCTTGGCTAAAAATCTAAACATGGCCACCTGTTAATACACCCAGCTATATCGTACTGAAGTACATCAAATTTAGTACTGGTTAGTAGTATGCGGGGGGTTGCCAGTACAGTAACTGTAACTTCATGTGGGCATAAGTTATTAGAGAAGTGATGTATTGCGGAATGAGGGTACGAAGAGCTATATACTTTATATAGCATGATGAGACGCCAAGTCCAAGGTTGATTGCACAGCCCATCGTAGAGCCCTTCGGCTTACATTAACTGTATTTAAAGCCCTGTTACTAGCCGGTTACAGCCGTTTATACATATTTTAGTTGGGGGAGAGGTGCCAGCGCGGCTGCGGGAGGTGTAGAGGGTGCAAATAGGCCATACGTTGGTCAGAAATTAACTCAGATTACGCCTATCCTGCGCAGTATGTTAACGATTTGGTAAGAAACTCCACAAAGCCGTTATCTAGACCCTGTATTCACCCCATAATGTTACTTTCTTAGTACATTACCCGCCAGCCCTAAGGCCCTCAGCCCTTTTTTGCCACTGAGGCCTCAAGCCGTTGATCTTCCTCTAAGAAGGTGCCTGTTCAACATTGTGCCGCTTATGAACATCTTTAGCGCCCCTAAAACGCTTTCTCTTCGCCCTTATCTGCGTCGGTTTTTCTTGAATTAATACTCTCAAAGCTGTGCGCAATATGCGGGCGAAGGAGCAGCTTTGTGCAAGTGCGAGAGGAGCTTCTTGCAGGCTAACCAAACTGTCGTGATTAATAGGAACTACCTCTTGTATACAACAACTAAGTTATAGAGCTATAGAAGAACTAGCAATACAATATAGTGGTAAGCAGAAAATTAACTAAACTAGAGAGTGCATTAAACTAGTATGAAGTACGGCTTAGGAGGAAGATTAATCCACCTATGCTCCTACTGTCGCACGTGTCTCACGCGATACTATGGCCACGTACGCTATTCACTCATTAGTACTAGATCCTTTTTCGCACAGTATATAGTCAGCCTAGAGCTCTCTCTCGCTCCTTAGACCTTACAATACACCAGTTCAATTCACCTTGTTTGGATCTCAATACTTTGTTGACTCGCCTACCCTATGACCCCTACTCACCTCATGCGAGACCTACCACTCCTTCTCGGCTACGTTGGATACTCCGTAAATGGCCCGTTATACTCCGTACAGTAGAGTAAATCTATTAATTCGCCCGTTACAGTGCACTGTTAGGTACCCCCCTCATCTATAAAGTACAGATAGTACTTACAAGCAGCTTGAATAGTACAGAACACCAAAAAGCCTCAAAACCACTCCGTTACGTGCGGATGGTCTCGTTGGCTAGGATACCAAACGTGTCGCAAACGTGTTGCGCAACCTTGGGAGTACGTATAGCCGTTAAATAGACCGCTCTTTCCACATTCGCTTCCTTGGAAATCTGAACTCTTTTGAATAGTCCGGTATGAATTAATGATCCCATTCATCCATACGGTACGTTTCAACAACTGCATGAAGCTAGATGTCCCCAGGAATAACCTTCAAGGACCCAATAAATCCCTCTCGTCTTCCTAGAACCAAAGAATACGTGAACAGAGTACGAATTCCTGTCCCAAATCATGCCCTTATCATGTTTCACGTGAGTCGATTTTATGCAACACGTTGGGTCGACAGGGTACGAACCTGAGGTGGGGCATCGCTGGTTTACCTCTCTGAGTGAGTGAAATTAAAGCTGAGCCAACAATGAGCGGAATCATTGGGACCGCGGCCTGTCGCCGTCGCAATTCCTGGTTCACGTGAATCGACCTTAGAAGTTGACATTGTCAAAGAACAATCAGTCACCTGACTTAATATCATTGAGAATGTCTTGGCAGCTTTGCTGAGATGACTCATCCTCTCTACACCCTCCATCCCATATTCACACGGGGCGCGCCACTCCTCGATTACCGCACTCTTATATTTCACCAAGACTCACTAGGTTCGGAAGTTTCTTCTTAGCAAAAGCGAATATCACTACCAATTTCATCGGAAACCCCAGTTGTCGCACCGAACTCCGCAACAGACAATTCGAACTGCCTCTTCAATGCTCGAGTCCCCGTCGTCAAATCTACGCTGATTGCTTGATAGTTTTTTGATACACTACGTCGAGCCTAGCCTTCGATTGCCCTCGTGTGCATAGCGACGCCACTTACTGCTTCGTAGCCACCCAGCTTCGAGGTGAAGCTAAATCCCTATTCTAAGACCGCTATACCGCAATTTAAGAAAAGAAGAAAATGCAGAACATCCCGACAAGAAATGAACCAATCTTTAGAATGGCCCGGCGACTCCAATACGAATCAAACTAAGAGAAGTCGCCCTCAAAGCCCCCGCCACCGCGGCCCGGTTTTAGTCTACACGAGAATCCCGGTGATCATCCGGTTCCGAATGTGAATGATGCTTCGGCGGCAAGAAACCCTCCTTTTGGCCTCGCTCGGTGATCCATTTCCGAATCGCCTTCCAGTTCCGACAGGTGTGCACGCGCTCTGTCTCCCCAACTAGGTCGGCCGAAGGATCATTCAGGAGGACAGGTCGCAATGTTACCGGTGTCAAGTCGGCATGACAAAGAATTGCCTGCCTAAGCTGGTCGATGCAGTGGTCGACATGCATTCTCATCTTCATCCTATGTGCATGCTTCATAGCAGCTTGTAGATGCTGCTCATAGTAATCCGGGTCAAACTGCTGTCGAATGGTGTTAAGACAGTGCAGGTTGTGCATCATGTCGACACTGCCGTAGAACCCAGGTGTATCCACGACATCCTTAGCCGCTTCCAGGTGAGTCAACTCCGCTACATGGCCATCCTTGTTCAGCTTCTCTACCTCATTGGGATAAAGTTTGATGTACCGTTCTAAACTTGTCAGTGTTACTGCTGATTACCTTGCGCTGAAAGACATACCTGCAACGAGCGCCTCCCAATTTGCGTCAATTTCGGGATTTGGTACACCAACATAGTGCAAGTCGTCGTCGTTGAGCTTGCCGTAAATCGTGCCATTCTCGTGTGCGTGGAGAGAATGCGTGAATCTGACTTTCTCCAGTTTGAGTAAGTGCTTTGGTAAGTCTTGATTAGGTGTTAGTTGGAAACCCATTGTTAAAGGTTCTAGCGATCATACCAAAATCAGTGTGGAACCCGTTTCCATACGCCCCGAACGAAACCCGCCCAACCCAATGAGCCCAGATGAGGTCGATCAAAATGAGGGTGTGGATGATGATGGAAATATATAAAGGGTATCGTAACATGGCTACTGCCTTCAGCCATGCCCAACCACTTGAAGGCTCTGGCTCGGAGGTCTGGGTGTCCGGTCGGGATGAGATTAATGACTCCTCATCATCTTCTACGAGACTTGAGTACTCTGGGCCTTGATGAGGAAGGTTCGACTTGAACCTCCGCACCAACCGCCCCCAGAAGCCCAAACCTTCAGTCTGGAATGTTTTTTCAGTAGTGGAAGACATTATTCTTGGGTACATGAGAGGGGGAAAAGATCACTGGGGAAGCCACTTCTCTTAGAGAGAGGGGGAAATCGACACCATTCTTGTACCAGCTCGAGCCTCCAAAGCCCAGCAAGCGTTCACATGCCCCTTAGAAACCTTCGAGTTTGTTACTCCAGCTGAGCCATGTGTTGCCCAGCATGTTGATCCTACGCCATTTCGATGACCAGGGTAGCACATTTGGTGTTCTGCACGAGTCTATTGACGAAATTTTTGAGCTTAAGCCAACTCCATCGTATGAGGAAGTTGTATGGGGACGGAGTAGCGAAGCTGACTTGCAAGAGGCCACGAAGATGAGAGGGACGACGGCCCGTCAAGCGATGCGCAACCGAAGATCCGGTACCCTTCACAAGATTCTAGTGGTCGTAGTCGAGATAAATCTGGTGGGATTACTCCACCAACCATACCTAAGGCACATAAATGCAGGTGGATGCGCCATTTGCATTGGACCCCTCCGAACTCCTGGACATAGCGATGAGATCAGATCGGTCCCAACCTGCCCACTTTCCTCCCATATTGTAACAGCCGTAAGTCGTCGACTTGCAAATGATCATAAGTTTCCAATCACAACTTCAGGTTCCCCATGGAAAACTCTGGCTAATTGATTGTCTGAGGCAGTACCTTCATGTTCTTGTGGGGTTTCTACATCCTGTATTTACGGGGCGCAACTCTTGTTCAGAGATTGCCGTAAGTCGTATCACCTCTGCACAATGCACTCGAACTCTTTAATTCGTGCCCTTTCTTCGAGCCCAGTTCAAAAGTGAGCGAGCCCACCAACGGCAAGGGCGCTGAAGCGAGCTGTGGAAACAATGATAATTGGCCAGAGAGATGCTGACACGCTTGCCAAGCGTAATTACATTTAGCCACAGCGTTTCTGGGTACCAGGATTCCTCATCTTACACTATTCAGTCTGTGATCAACGCTTCCAAAGGTCTTTGTGGCGGCTGACATGCGCTTATATCCAACACTTTTATCGTTCGTATGAGCCCCGGCGCCCGGGTTACGGTCTCGAACTTGCGTTCAACAGTGCATCTCGACGGACTCGGTGATTCGCTTCGACCCGAACGAACCCTAGCTCAGCGCGTGCAGCAACTTTCCAGGCATTCTAACAGGGATCAACGTATGCCACCGCCAACGTTCTGTTGTAGTATCAAGCATAAGTAGTGTGCGTGGTTGTTGCGGGGTGGGATAAGCAAAGGCTGTTGCAGAGTACTTTCACAGTTGCATGAGCGATCCTGCTGGTTCATCTTGCTTTTGATCTGTGCTTTGGTTAAAAAAAAAAGAAAAATAGAGTTTTAGCGATCCTAACAACGGCACCGATCACGAACACTACTTATGTCTGATACTACAGTACGGCACGCCTGGCGGTGGCTGCACGAGATACGCTCAACTTGCCTTGCACATGCTATACATACTGTCTCGCTTACACCCACTCGATCTTGACAACGAGAGATAGCAAGAATAAGCGGGGAAGGGCCAGTGCAGTGGGGCACAGGCAGCACTCGAATGTTGTTCACAGCTTCTTTCAAGGGGGGGAGTTCGTCTAATAACCTTAAAGACCACAAAATGTGCAATACGACCCACGCTCGAGGAGGCTTCAGCGCTCGAAATCCCTTTGCTCGATGCTTTCCACGTCGTCAGACTAAGTCTTCGCTAACGATTACGCATTTTATAACTATCTACTTACAGCAAATTACTACACAACTCATCGACACCGGTGAGAATTCTCGTCATTCCGAGTCCGTGCAGATGGCGACGACCAGTGCCACAGCAGGTAACCATGCAAAGTAGCTCACGGTTCTTATTCACATGTAATATCCGTTCCACATTTCTGTGCTGACTCCATCACTGTATTCCATGCATACCAATCCAACCATCACGTTGCACCGTCTCACGCAGGACCATGAAACCCTATAGTACTTCCATTACCATGACGAGACACATCCATAGATCTTGCAAGGAGTTGAATCCATTGTGTATACCAGTAACGTCTCAAAATCAGTATGAAATGGGTTAATATTGTAAGCCCAACTGATTTCAATGCGTCTTCGAACTTCACTTCCCTCCTGACTTCGGCTCTCCCACTCGCGGGTGTCATCCAAGCCTGGAAGCACACTCATTTGCAATGACTAACTCGCCTACCTCCTTCCCCAACAAGGGCAATATACGGACGTATCCTTGCGACAAAGGCTCGGTAAGTCGTGTACTCACTTGGCTGTCAGCACCGGGCCACCGCGAGACCATAGCGACAGCTACTCTTGCAGCCCCACTCCTTCCCGCAGACATCCATTGGAGAAGAGAAGCTCAAGAGCAGTTCTCTCTATGGCAACAGCTATTCGTAGGCCACCGCTCTCCAACGACTGGCCCGCAGCCCTTGTATAGCAAGTATAACTGTCGGCTATCTCGTTATGGAGCGACATGGGCCTGGCACACTCCCGAGGCTTCGACCATAGACCAACTCGATTCTCCGCATCTCTTTGGAAAGTATGAACGCACTCAGAAATATTTTTGCTCTTAAAACGATCTCCTTAAAGAACTTAGCACACAATGGGAACGGGACCTAGCTATTATGAGGTGTGGAGCGAAGGCCTCTCGGCATTAGGCTCAAATTTGGCAGGGCTTCGATTTATAAGGGAAATTAAGGGCTAGCGTTAGGACCCTAGGCCGGTAACAGAGATAGTTCAGGCCTTGAGGGAGTTGGGACTTAGAGAAGCTTTTGTCACGTTACTTCGTGTTCCATACCCGTTCCGATACGAGCTACCCCTCCTCGATCGACACACAGGCCACAAATTGGCCAATTAAACACCAGCATACTACAAGCGTTTTGCGAAGGCAACAGTCCACTTCCTTATCTTCACCTTGACATCGCATCCTCTTCTCTTCCATACGTCCACTCACTCTCACTATGGCCTCCATCATGGTAACCGCACAGTGCCTATGCAAAGCCCAAACCTTCACTACCGAGGTCCCTGCCTCGAATTTCCCCCTCCTAGCCACCGCCTGCCATTGCGACTCCTGCCGCCGCGTCACCGGCGCATTATACTCCATCAACTTGCCTTGGCCGGAACCACGCGTGAACGTAGACATATCTAAACTCGCCCGGTATGCATTTTCTTCCCGTATTAGGGTTTTCTTCTGCCGGACTTGTTCCACTCCGATATTCTTTGAAGATGGCGATTTGGGAGATCTGGATGTTTTCACAGGCGCAGTGAAGAACGATGCTGGAGATGTTATGGATCTAAAGATCATCCGGCATATATTTGTTGGAGATACACGGGATGGCGGGGCGTCTATGTGGCTACGGAAGCCGAATGCGGATGGAAGCGAGGCGAAGAGGTTTAAGGAACGTAGTCGTGGAGAGGATGTGCATGAATATGGCTTCGATTGGCCTGCAGAACAAACCCCTGGTTCTAACACCACGTACGAGGAAAAGTCCACGGAGAATGCTATTCCCATTCGATGTCACTGCAAGGGCGTGGATCTCGTCTTGCATCGAGGTAACTACAACGGGAAAAAGAGAGAAGAGCTTCCGTGGTTCATTGATCCCAAGACACACAAAGCTATCGCGGGATTCTGCGCATGCGACTCTTGCCGTCTCTCATTCGGTGTCGATGTTTGTAATTGGAGCTTTGCGGAGCTGAACAACATCTCTTATTCCGAGGCTCTGACGAAGAATGGAAAGGTCTTCCCACGGAATACATCGGAGCTCAAGGCTGCGGTGGACCGCAAAGATTCGTCAATCGGCACGCTCACGTACTACGCTTCCTCTCCCAATGTCCAGCGCTACTTCTGCGGTTCTTGTGGTGCCTGTGTCTTTTATGCTGCGGACGACCGTCCAGATATTGTGGATGTTGCTATTGGTGTTCTGGAAGCCTCAGATGGTGCAAGAGCTGAAGGGTTTCACTCTTGGGCTCTAGGGAAAGTCGGCTCGATCGGTGATACGAAAGGTGGATGGAGAGAAGGGCTCATGGCGAGAGTTGAAAAGGAGTGCGAAGAGTGGAGGGAGCAGAGGGGTTATCCGAAGAATTGGAGGAGAGTTGAGAGAGAGGCAGCAGAGGCTAAAGGGGGAACAAATTATTGATCGAAGTTTCTTCGTCTTGCTACCTAGCATTGAAAATTACAGCAGGGTCATTTAGGACAGAAATTAACACTCTGTTGACCTTCTCCCTGAATCTAGGAAGAGGTTTTGGACAATACATAGAGTCTACCCTGGTCTTGCTCCATTTATGTGATAAAATGCTGCACACTAAGGGCCTATTTTACTGCTAATGTTGGATTTCCCTCTTGTTCAATAAACGGAACCCTCATACTGCATAAGATATACTGCACATGAATTCTCTACTGCTAAACAACTACGAATATCTAGGGTATTATATTGAGTGAATGAAGTTCATGGTTCTATGTACGGTGGAAATAGAGAACGAGAGCTAGAGACGCATCCAGGGCATGCTTGGAGATTAATAGGTCCAGTTGATGGTAAGGGTTGAACTTGGACTAAGCTTCTCTAGGCCTAGCGCAGAGCCTGCATCGCCCCACTCATGCTGCGCCCCCGCGACAGCCTCAACTCCGACACATAGCAACTATAGAACTGGTCCTCTCCATACCTCTTCAACTCATCACTTATATGTAGAAGCCCCCCAGCCTCACAGTAGGTCAGGCTCAAGCATCGGCGCCGAGATGAAAGGCTCGGAAGAGCCAGCTCACTTGGGAGGATTTACCAACGTCCAAGTTTGGGAAGATAGCTTCGAGGGTCAAATATATCACCACGTGGAGGACCTTGGTGAGGAGGATATTCCACCTGTCTGCAGGAGGGCTACGGTATTTATTAGCCAGCCTTTGCTCCTGATCAACGTATTCATGGACTTCCTATCAGGACGGCTCGAATTCGAATGATCGATATAGATGGAGATTGAACCTGTGCGCAAACCCCAGCCAGCTTCAAGCTGTGATATATCTAACCATTTGCGCATCATAGCTTACTTTCGTCGCATCATCGCAAACGAATGGGTGCGCCATTTTCAGAGGATGCGATGGAAGCCTTGCAATACTTTTGGCGTATACCCAAACGACATGCTAGAGCCGTTTTACATATCAGTGGCAGTGCTTTGACGTTCGCTCCTCTATACGGGAACCCAGACTGGAGCGGTAAGATTGGTTTTCGTAATAAATCCGTATGGACTGTGTATATCTGATCATATTCTAGGCTTCTTGCTCCGCGGATCACGGAGCTGGAATTGGTCGTACGGTGTTGTGATATCGCATGATAAGAAGGCCCTCACTACCTACGGGATTTGTATTGGACTGAGTGTGGAGGAGACAAGCCAACTACTGGACTACATCATCAATGCCAAACATCTCGCCAAAAGTCGCCTCTTCGTTCCAATCGCTCTAGCGGACCTTAGCCTCGAAGTATCCCAAAATTTTAATCAAGGTCATCGTAAAAATCTGGGCGATATACAGGCTTGCTTGGGTAATGACGTATATCTGAGCAGTCACGGATCGAAGTCGCAGCCCGATATCGATTTAGGGGAGGCTAGTAGGAAGCTCACCGGTGTGACTTGCTCAAGTGCCGCTGTGACAGCATTAGTAACTGGGCACCTGAATATTGTGGGTTTCCTTCAAGAGCAGGTTTCAAAGGAGCAATACAGAGGGGAGAGTCTCCACCCAGGCACAATTGACTCTCTTGAACTTGAAGAGAGACTGGCGTTTGTCCATCAATGTCTACTCGTTGAGAAGAGAACGAACGTCTACATCAAAGAAGCAATCCAGGCGCAAGTCCAAGCTGTATGACTTCTCCTTTCCCTCATCCAATTTTCCACATTTAACATTCCTTAGGTGTACAGTCTTATCGGCCAGAAGGAAAATGAACTGAACCTTATGTATGGTTCAGATATGCGGACGATTGCAATCGTCACGCTTATTTTCCTTCCAGGAACCTTCGTGGCGACGCTTTTCAGTGCGAGTTTTTGGAATTTCGGGCCTTCAAATACCGGCCCGATTGTCTCGAAATGGGTCTGGTTGTATTGGGTAATCACAGGTCTTTTGACCGTTACGGTATTTGTTGCATGGAGAGGTAAGTGGTTGAAGTCAATGCGGTGGCCATTTACCATTAGGAAAATGGAAACATTGATAGTAAAAGAGGTGACAGATTGATGTAACTTAGCAGAAAGAAAATGACTGATAATACATGAAGAGTTGTCCACGGGCAGCATCAGCAGTTCAAGGTGTTTGCCAAGATAAGGGACCGCTTTATGGATTGCCTATCAATAATCATGCGTGCACTTTAGAGCGCGAGTGATTCAAAGCCAAGAGAAGAGACTTAGCTGTAAATGTTTCCAGGATGACACCTTGCACCACTGAAGTTGATTAACATGGGATTAGGTGACTTAGGCCGAGCCGCATTTGGCCTTACTATTACCTCGGTACATTACCAACCTGAGGAACGTAGTAGACTTTCTCTTTGCTGTTGTGCTCGGCCGAAATCTGCATAATAGTTTGATTTGAAGGACAGAAATTACATCCTCTTATAAACCTAGCTGATTCTAGCAGGAGACCTAGCAGGGAAACCTTATACTGTTCATATGCCTTGATACGTTATAACACGCTACCAACAGCAGGCGCCTATATTTTTTAGTAACCCATTCAGTAATCTTTTGAGAAATCTTGTGAGTACTTATTGTAAGAAGTTGCTGTTTCCATATATAGCTTTTTTTCTCCCCTCCACCCATCAAGCATAAACGCTAATAATCTTTAGCTAGTCCGCGTCAGCATCGGAGGAACCGGCTCCTACTCCCTCAAATACGTTCCCTACTTTGAACATCTAATCTTCTTCTACGCAACATACATCTGTCTTTTGCGCAACCACCTCCTCGCTACAGCACGCACATCGCGAACGGAGTCCGACACTAAGCACAAGACCCTGGATTGGTACCTAATAACAAACGCATATGCCATTGATTCAAGACCTGTACCCTAGCTCCTAGTTCAGCATTCATGCAGTCTGTCGAACCGCGAACATGTGCTCCAAGAACTAGACACTGGTAATTCCAGAGTGAACCACCCCAGAGTTCCGCTCGTAGGCATGAACTCCGTCTTAGCAACGTTGGCTATTCCTACTGTTAAGACGATGTCAATTCCAGTGAATTACGTGAAGAATGAAAATTTCTTCTGTACTTTTAGTCGCATCCATTTTGCGGCCTGCGTTGTGGCGTAAATTAATCGGAGGTACTGTCTTAAGACAGATTTGAATATGTTGGATAACTTCCGCCGGGATATATTTAATTTCAGATACGGGATTAAGGGAAGCAAGGACAGGCCTATTGTTAGAATATGGTAGCATCACGAAGGGGATTGAAGAGCAAGGGTGCGAGAAAAGAGTCGCGGATAATGTTTTGAGAGAATTGGACAATCGGAGATGGAAAACGCGATAGAAGGTCGGGGACTGGTCGTTGAGGTTCAGGATAATGCCGTAGCGAGAGAGGGGTTACGGCATGGACGTATATAAATATCCTCACTTAGATTCCGAATTCTTGTCTTGCGCACACAGAAAGATGGCATGGCAACTGACGCGCTCACTGGTCACAGACTCATAGATATGGCCCGCCTCAACACCGCCCCTCTGTGTTCAACAATTCTCGATGTCAGGCCTGTTCTGAAAAGATCTTAGTAAGGGGAAGAGCAAAACAGAGCGATGAAAGAAATCTAGGATAGAACAGCGCCACCGACGAGGCTTTCCCCGGCAACTTCAGATATCGGAGAAGCCTCTGAGTCTGACCAAGCTTAGTGCAGCATGGCTCCAGTTCGAGGCCCGAAACCCGGGCAACTTCTTGTCGTGGATAGAGATGCGCTGCCATTCTTCATGTTTCGCGTTTTCATCGCGATACGGCGTGGTTCGGACTTCCTAAGGCGTCATAGACTGATGTGTCTGATCTTCAATGCGAGAATTTGATGCTAGGATCCTCACAACGGTAGTATACTGGTAGCAGGACTACTAGGGGTAATTTTTATTGGTCTTGGAAGTTTCTCAGAGTATACCACATACGTGGAAGACCAGGCAGTTCGCTACGAGTTCCGGCTACTCACGTATAACGTCGCCGGATACAACAGAAGTGTTTCGACATTGTAGCGAGGAGGTTGCGCATAGAAGCTTATTGGAGGAAATAGGTCGATTTTATCTTCATCTGTATATCTAGGGTAAGGGACGCAGAGAAGGGTTGGAAGTTTTCCTGACTGAGATTTGGGCCGAGCTTGGGGAAGTCGCGAAGAAGGTGCGTCATGGTGAGGGGCTGGGATTAGATAAAGGAGGTGTTCGCAAAGGCGGAGGGAAATACGAAACTTCGGACGAGGGACTGGAAGACATAACATTGCGGAATGAGGTAGTCTGGCTGCAGCTCTGGAAATAATCACTACGGACGTCAGAAGTTGTAACGCGGGAAGAGTAACGGAATCACAACGAAGGAATTCGTTCGTTCCTTTGCTGCCTAAGCCAGGGCAGTGAATGTGAAGTTGATGTGAATACCGTAACCGCACGCTTTTCTCCAGCGTAAAATCCCCAACTCCTAAACGCCTTGACAACTTCCCTCGCCGTTTCTAAACAGAAATCTCCCCCACAAGCAACCCTACATTGGCAGCAGCAAAATGTCCAAAAACCTAGAAACCGCCTCAAAAAAATACGCTCAACTGAACATCCCGCAAAACCCAAGCCATCGACTTCCTCTCTGTCTCCCAAGAACCAGCCTAACGCTACCCACAACCCACTCCACTCTTCGCTCCCAGCTTGTCGTGATCAAAACCCGCCTTTACAAAGACGAAGTCGCATTCTTAGAGGCGATCCGTTCTAACATACACATTTCCGGATCTGAGAGAATCGGAGGGATGCTTATCGACAAGGGAGACGAAATCGCGCCAGCAAGGTACTCATGGGCTGCTCTCGAACCCGTATTTGGTCAAGATCTCTTCACTTTATCAACCCGCCGCAAGGTGCGGACATTCCCGGCATCGCTCGTCGCGCACATCTTCATCGAAGTGCTGGAGGCAATCCGCTGGTTGCACGGTCTGAACCCGAAGGGGATATTTCACGGAGATATTGGAAATCCTGCGAATATTATGTTGGAAATGTTTCCCCGTGCAGGGGGATTGCGGGTCCTGGGGTTGCCGAATGTGGTTATGGTAGATTTTGGTGCTGGAGGCTGGTGTGAGGATATGGATGGTGCGGTTTGCTATGATGCAACTGAGTTTCGGGGGCTTATGGCGTGTCTAGCTAATGATACAGGGGACAGATTTTTGCACGGGATTGTCGAGTCCTATGCCTGTTCTCCAGATCCTTCGCCTGATGAGATTTGGCTAAGGTGGCAAGAGGAGGCGACGAAACGGAGAGGTGATGGTCCGTTCGTTGTTCCAGAGGGCTTGCTTGTGGAGCTCGGGAAACTGGTTGTGAGCGACGAGGCGATGGAGGCAGCAGTGGAGGAGGCCATTACTATTGACTAGGTGTCGGTAGAGGAACCGTGACTGAAGAACTTGGTGCTATTAGGAGCGGCCGTCGGCGAGGAACACCATAGGAAGAGCCGCGCGAGAAGTAATAATCCTCCTTCCATCATGCCCATCATGCACATATCAAAGCCTCACCCGCCACGGATGCCACAGCGCCCAGCCATTCTGCCGTAAGAAGCCAACGTGACCAGCATCAGCATATCAGGGGACGGGAATAGGAGGAGTTCCATCCGTTTAACCGTTTGCTAGGGTTAGACAGGTTGTTCAGAGGGTATACCAAGATCCGTCCCAAATCATTTATTAGACCATTGCTATGTTCCGTGGGAGGTGCTAGTTGTGGTAATGTTGAATGCAGCTGGAAGCAGATTGCTGGAGCTTGTATTCATTGCGAGGGTTGAAGGTTGGAGCAATGGAATCAGCGGGCGATACAATGTGGATGCTCCAAGTTGTATTGGAAGTTAGTTTGGCGCAAGTCCCCCAGAACAGTGACGGGCCCCCGCTGCGTGGAAGTTAGTTTGCCACAAGTCCCCCAGAATAGTGACGGGCCCCCGCTGGGGAACCGGCTCGAGGTTGCGCTTCTTGATCACAAAATCATGAAGGAGGCTGGCAACACCGGGGCTGTCGAGGGTTTCCAGAAAACGGAAGGAAGCTTTGAGTGGCGCGGTTATGGCACCAATAGGGAGCCGAGGCTCCGAGGAAGGCGAATGGATTAGACGGTTTGCCGCCGCGGATGAAAGACACGATTCCGGGGGTGTGTTCTTTTTAAGGAGTCGATAGCGGCTCTAATGCAGCATCGTATAGAGTTGGGGAAATGAAAGCTGCCTCGTGGTTCTTAGTGAGTAGGTAGATCCTGAACGTTTTCCTAATTGGTCTACGGGGCCTGGTGGCATGGTTCAGAAAAAGCACACACTGGAAGCTGCGAGAAGCTGGTTGGACGTGAAGGACAAGCATATACGGAGCGCTGGGCGGGCCCTCCGGCCTCATGTAATTCGACCTCATGAAATTAGTCCTCCCAATATCGCGCCTCCACCAGCTGACCACCACCTCAAAGCCATTGCCTGGGCACCGCTCTCTCTGACCACGTCCTCTCCCCCTCCCAAGCTAACCAATCCGATCTCGTGGTCGGCAGCAAACCCATCTGATTAACCTTCCAAATTCCCAGCCCTAACATTAGCATATTCATCAGCACATATACAATCTTGACACCAATAAGTCGACCGGAGGTGCCGGGGGTCTCAAAGGGAGCGAAGACGCGTTGTAGGGACAACACGGCGATAACGGGGGTTTTGAAGAGCGTGAAGACCATGAAGATGGAGAAGATCTGGAGCGTGTTGCCGGTCATGTACATGCCTAAATAGAGATGCGAGTTAGCGCAAAGTCTGTGGTCGGGGGTGAGGATGGGGCGACGGAGAGTGTGGGTCTCGGGGTGCGGAGGTGTGGGAGAGGGCGTGGGTGTGAGTGTGAGTGTAGGTGTAGGTGTGGATTTCAGTATGAGTGTGGGTGTGGGTGTCGGTGTGAGTGTAGGTGTAGGTGTAGGCGTGAGTGTAGGTGTAGGTGTAGGCGTAAGTGTAGGTGTAGGTATAGGCGTGAGTATAGGTGTAGGTGTAGGCGTAAGTGTAGGGGTAGGTATGGGTGTGAGAGAGGGTGTAGGTGTGAGTGTAGATGTAGGTGTAGGTGTAGGTGTAGGTGTAGGTGTAGGTGTAGGTGTAGGTGTAGGTGTAGGTGTAGGTGTAGGTGTAGGTGTAGGTGTAGGTGTAGGTGTAGGTGTAGGTGTAGGTGTTGGTGTGGGTGTGGGTGTGTGTGGGTGTGTTTGGACGTGCCAATTGCGTTCATGGGGAGCTGCTTTGCTGGAGCAATGGCGAGTTCCCATGCCTTTTTCATTTTTAGCGTGTCCATCTCCTCTGTTGTTGGGGCCTTTCGGACTGCCGTCTTGGATGACTGTGACCGTTGCTTCGAGCTAAGGGCAGCCGTGTAGCCTGGGGGATCTGGTATGGATAGGTTTTTGGGCTTGGAGGCCGGCGTCGAGTTGAGATCGATAACCCATTGTGGCGGCGGCGGAGGCAGCGCGGACATTATCGCCGTGTATGTAGGCCAAAAATGAAGCTGATTTCAAAGAGAGGGCGTCACACAGGAGGGTTGACGGTTGCGGGGGTGGAGGGTGGAAGGTTGCGGCGGAGGTGGGAGATGTTTTGTCGCCGTGTTTCACTGTCCTGGCTGGTCCGCTCCGCAAAAAACGTGGGAGTGCTGAGCCGCTGCACAGGCTTGGCGCAACGCACGCTCCTCATCCGTGACGACTCCGGTCTGTTCTCCAAAAACATCTGTTGACTCCATCGCCAGTGCCGTTTCACTCATCTGAACCCTCTTCACTTTCTGCCCTTGACTCTCACATAATGCGCATTGGCACGTACATCGAGTGAGCGCTGGTCGGTCCAATCAACTTGCGCACAGCCTCGCCGCTGCCGTAAAGGAGGGGGGGCGGCTAAGACGACGAAGAGAGGCGAGCTGCCTGCTGCCCAGCTGCTGCTGCTGCTGCTGCTGCTGCTGCTGCTGCTGCTTGATTGTGTCACCACCAGGCACATGCACATCGCCCGCCCTGCGGAAGGACACGAGACACGAATAGCCCGCCATGAGCGCAGGCGGCCAGGATGCGAAGCTCTTCGCTCGAGTACGTCCCCTCTACCTCCCCTCTTCCCCCCCGTCCCATATCTCTGCACGCCTTACACCATCGCCCTCCCGGACCCCAACCTGCACGCCTACATTCTTCCAGCCTCCATTCTGCCCGCCTTCATTCTTCCCACCTCCATTCTTCCCCCCCTTCCCCCCCTCCCCTACATTCCTACCCTTCCCCGTATCTATCCCCTTTGGCTACAACATTGTGACTGCCATCCCACACCTCACCTCTCCTGCCCCTCCTCTGCCCCTCACCTGCCCCTCACCTGCCCCTCCCCCTACCATGTCGCCGCCATGTTCCTTCCCTACGCTTTCGACAGCGCCCGCTTACCATATCTCCCTTCCCCACAGGGCAAAGTAGCAGAGCTGCGGCTGGAACTTAACAGCGGTGGGAAGAAGGATAAGAATTTCGCCGCCAAGAAGACGGCCTTGAAGAAGATCGTCGCCAACATGACCATGAGCAATAACGACATGGTCGCCCTGTTCCCCGACATCGTCGGCTGCATGCACATTCCCAGTCTGGAGATCAAGAAGATGTGCTTCTTGTATCTGGTCAACTATGCCAGGATAAAACCCGACATTGCCCTCAAGGCCCTGCCCATCATCCAGGAGGACATGCATGATAATAACCCCCTCGTCCGCGCCCTCGCTCTCCGCACCATGTCCTACATCCACGTGAGAGAGTACGTCGAAGCCACCGTCCCACACCTCAAAAACCTCCTCCGTGACAACGATCCCTATGTCCGCAAGACGGCCGCCTTCTGCGTGGCAAAGTTGTATGACCACGACCGGCACTTGGTCGAGTCGTCGGATCTGATCGACAAGCTGAACGGCATGCTGAGGGACGAGAACCCCACCGTTGTCTCCAGCGCCTTGGCCGGCCTGATGGACATCTGGGAACGGAGCGAGAACATCAAACTGACCATTGACTATGCCAGCGCATCGAAGATCGTGTCCATCCTCCCCGATTGCTCTGAATGGGGTCAGACGTACATCCTGGAAGCCATGATGAACTACGTCCCACAGGACTCCTCCGAAGCTGCCCTTCTTGCCGAGCGCATATCCCCTCGGCTCTCGCACTCGAATTCTGCCGTGGTGCTCACTTGCATCCGTGTGATATTATACCTCATGAACTATATTTCCGATCAGAAAGTGATCACCTCGCTTTGTAATAAGCTCTCCCCGCCACTCGTCACCCTTCTATCGAAAGGCCCGGAGATCCAGTATCTAGCACTTCGAAACGCGTTACTCATCCTCCAACGGCGGCCTGAGGTCCTGCGGAACGACATCCGTGTTTTCTTCTGCAAATATAACGACCCAATCTACGTCAAAGTTACCAAGCTCGAGCTCATCTTCATGCTCGCTACAGAAAAAAATATCAAAGAAGTCCTGACTGAACTCGCAGAGTAAGTGTATTTTTGCCCTCCCATGTTTTACGCCCCCCCCTCCCCCCTCTCTGTCCCCCCACATCCTAACCTCTCACAGATATGCCACCGAAATCGACGTCGACTTCGTCCGCAAATCTGTCCGCGCCATCGGCAAACTCGCCATAAAAATCCCGCCCTCATCCCAACTGTGCATCTCCACGCTCCTGACCCTCGTCTCCACAAAAGTCTCTTACATCGTGCAAGAAGCCACTGTCGTGATCCGAAACATTTTCCGCAAATATCCAAACCAGTATGAATCTATCATCTCCACGCTGTGCGAAAACCTCGACTCCCTCGACGAGCCTGAAGCCAAAGCCGCGATGATTTGGGTTATAGGGCAGTATGCGGATAGGATTGAGGATAGCGATGTGCTATTGGACGATTTTTTGGACGGGTTTAAGGAGGAGACGCATGAGGTGCAATTAGCGTTGTTGACGGCGACGGTGAAGTTGTTTATTCAGCGGCCAACTCGTGGTTCCTCTCTCGTCCCAAAAGTTCTCAAATGGGCAACCGAAGAAACAGATAACCCCGACCTCCGTGATCGGGGGTACATGTACTGGCGGCTCCTGTCCTCCGCACCCGAGGACGCGAAGCGTATCGTTATGGGCGATAAACCGGCCATCACGGCTGAGGAAAGCGAGAAACTTGATCCCGGGACGTTGGAGGAAATGTGTTTGAATGTGGGTACGTTGGCGACGGTGTATTTGAAACCGGTGAATCAGGTGTTTAGGTCCGCGAGACAGAGGAGGTTGCAAGACAGCCCTGCACTGCAGAAAGCGGGGCTGCCGACGGTTGTGGCGGCGAAGGTTGCGAGAGATCGCGCAGTTGCGGAACGGGCGAGGCTAGATACCACTACCTCGAATATGCATCCGACGAACGGGCATGGTGGCAGTACGCTCGCACCGACAAACGGTAATGGCAGCGGTAATGGAACTGCGAACTCTAGTTCCAATAACCTGGCTGCGGCGGTTAATGAAGCAGACCTTTATTTCGCGGGGGTCGGCCGGCAGAGTACATTCGGTGGTAGTCCCATCGTAGGAAGTGATGCAGGGAATGTGGGCGGTGGGTGGGTGGTAAATCAGAACTCGGCACAGCAAGCGGTGCTAAGTCCGGGGGGTGCAGATGGGGGCGGCGATTTGTTGCTGTAGTGAGAGGGGGGAGGTGGAGGTGGAATGAGATAGCTCATGGGTCATAGAAGATGAGAGCTAGGATTGTAATACGTTAAGTGTTGATATTTTCATGTGAGGTATTGCCGTAGCTGTGGCTAATTATTCGAGAATCTAGCATGTGGAATATAATGGAATAGGCTTGACTAGTAAAGCTTTGTTGTCGTTGCACAAAGTCTTGTTCTAGACTTTTGTTGCTATAGCTAGGCCTTTCCGCGCTTGTCTCAAATGCATTCGAGCGAGCGTTCGAAGAGCTTCGACCCCATTTCAACTTTACTCCAGGTAGAGGGCTCAGCTGGTTTGCTGTATATGTGTGCAGCAGCACGTAGCTGTATATCTACTCATAGAAAAACTCAGTTATTAATGTACTGTCGATTAATTTAACATACTAATAACCGTCAAGCAGTGTGACCAACCGCTAGCACGCCTAAAAGTACAGTGCTGCAGTACACTAATTTTGCTCACGCACGTACGTACAGGACATCTACTTAGTATACTATACTGTATATGAGACTGCTGTACTGTTTACAGCAGTTATACAGGATTTCAGGTAATTTCACGCGCTGATTATTGTTGCTAGGGCAGGTTTCTAAGGCCCAGGAGTCTTGTGTTCAGAAATTAATGCAGAGAATGGTATTCGTGCTTACTTTGTTAGCAATCTCCTAACAAATTCAACAACCATGCCATCTCCCTTGTCCTCTTGCCCATCATGATATCCCAATTCCTATCCCAATCAACGAGGCAATATTTCCAGCGTGTTGCCGCCTAGCAGGCTTCATCCAGCTTATCTACACCGTCCCTGCGTGGGGCAACTCTTTCAAAGCGTATGCGAGATACCTGGGCTAGGGAGCGCATAAATAATGCTTTCTATTGTGTTAGAATTCTCTTTGAGATTAACTGGGATAATATATAGTGTTCTGGCGTTAAATTAACCGCCGAGCAGCTGGGATATTGGCTATCACGGCTTCCTAATCTGGTATGGTCTCTAGCTTTAGCTTAAATACCTCATAATACTTCAGTTACTGTATACGAACTGTACACCTACGTCACCTCCTCCGTACAGTGAGTTAGTAACAGCCGACTACTCCGTAACTGTACTATACAGCCTTAAAGCACTCCTAGCTATCGGTTGGACACACTGCTGTCAAGTCTGCAGTCGTCGTACTAGGCATCGAGGTCAGTAGAGTAGTATAGTATCCCAACACCTTTTTTTTTTTTAGCTGAACGGAATCATAGTATATCTAGGTGAGGAGATGCTACCACTCATCCTTCTTGATAGACACCAAGCACTTGTGCACGGGGTATGGGCGAGTAGCGGGAACGAAGTGTCAGGACGATGTTTGTACTTCTCGGCTTTCTCCCATTATAGTTTCAGGAACAAGTGTAGGTAGCATCTAGTCCTATTTTTCTCCCCAACTCCTCCAGTAATGAAACTGTTGTATTGGTTTCGGCTCGCGATTTCTCTCTTTCGTGTTTTCTGGGATTAATACTCAAGGCATTGGTCTAAATATATTGGTTCTGCTTTTCAAGCCTTGTTTGCATAGAGCAGCGCGTAATTTCGTTCGAACATGAACATGGCAGCTTTCGGTGGAATTGATAAGCCAGTATTGTCCAAGGGACACCACTCATAGGATAATGCTTTGTATGATTGTTTACTTTGGTTAATATGGAGAAGACAATGGTATGTGGAATCGTCGCTAGAACCTCGCCCAGTACAATGATACGGATTGCAGTCGGAAGTTCCAGGGACGGAATCTTAAAGAAATTTCGTAGTCCTGTACCTGCTAGCAAGGCTGAGCAAGCTAAGACCCCTTTAAACCTGTCATGGAGCTCACCGCCGCGCTTCTAGATTGGATTGTTGGCATAACGGCCTCGTCGACATCTGTATTCCCGTCCTGAGTGCTCTTTTGCTTCCGCTACTTCGGCGGCCAACTGCCATAGAAAATACGGGCGTAGCAAGTATGGCGATCCTCGTCTAAGTATAGCACTATTGATAATCAATAATGGATGTGATGGCGATGGCGGTTGCTGACCTCAGTCTAGTTCGCGCGCCGGCAGGGCTAGCGATCGTCTTCATGGCAGGGATTACCCATCATCGTCATGATCTATTCGCGATTGACTGAGGCTCTGCGAGCGCACTGATACAGGCGCTGACAGTGCGCGCGGATCCCCTGCGTGCGATTTGCCTGCACGTCAAGAACATGCGGGAGGCTGTTTGGCAGTGCTCCATGCCAGGGATTCCGGAACCGATTGCTATCTTCATCTCTAAGCTTTCAAGACCCCACATAGTTTCTCTGACGCCTAAATAGCCTCTACAGTGTGTTCATGAAGAAAGCAATGAAATGTGCGCTGTTTGCTCGCTTTCCACACGCAGTATTCCAGGAGCTAGATACTAGCTCCATTTGCGAACTCGCGAGGAACTGTCTAGTTTCCGACGCCTCCTCTATTCCTACCCCTACGTACGTGCGTATCTTTGCTCCCCGGCCCTTTCGTATAGTCGGCATCTTGTCATGTCACGAGTTAAGGCAAGATGTAGGTATTCTTCGTGCGATCGCTAGCCGGAATAGACGAGGACAGTAAAGTTAGCGCATACCCATCAGTTTCCAACATCTTCTTTAGGGTAGAACTTACTCTATCTTACGATATCGTGCCCTATATGAAGTAACATCAGATTTCTTAGCGAGTACAACAAGAGTAGAGGTGAGAGGTGAAGGGTGAAGGGTCTCCCGCTAATCTCAAGCATTCGGTTAAGCGCCGCAAGGAGGACTGACTAAATGTCGCTAACTACTTCCCGAGAACTTGAAAGGGCTCCTTTAAGCGGCTGCAGAGAGTTGAAAAAAAACCATTGGAGAGACTTTCTCCTAGCTTTTATTCTCTTTTGCCCTCTGGTAAATTCCTTATAATACAGGCAACTTACTCCGGCTCTATAGACGTCCTGTTGAATTTGTGAATGACAGTAAACCGCGAGAGCTAAAAAGAATTCTAAACGGCAATTTCGTCGAGCTAGCAAGCGTCTAGAAAGTTTATTATCTTTCTAAAGTATTGCCCACGTGGCGAGTGCAGGTTTTGAGAAATACAACTTATCCAATCTTTTTAAAGCTTGTGCAGTGAATACTAAACAGGGAAATGGCACCCAATGTTGTGAGCGCGAAGGCATCAAGAATATGTCTAAGACATACTCTTCCTGTTCTAAACGCATTACTTGAACAGCGCGGGAAGCTGAAAGGCAATATGATGGTGGAGTGGATAGTAACAGGAAAACAACCAACGCCGAAATTATAAAGCTAGCAAGCATCGAAACATCCTCATTCGAAAGATATTTCCTAACCCACAATAACAGGTCCAATGAAAGGAAAACCCATCCCATTTGTAAAAGGCTATGTAGGGTATCTTTGCAGTTGCATCCCCTTGTGTGCTAATTTGTGAACCGAGCCCAAACTTGAACAGAAACCATTCTGTTGCACATTACGAAAACCGTTAAAAAGATCTTCTTAACCCAATCCCCCTCTCTTACCTCTCTTACCTCTCTTCCCCATCTCTTTCACCAGCTCCCTCCACCATCACCCTCCATCATATCACCCCTATCTCCCCCCCGAAAAAACCACCTACTCATTAGCTAACAACGGAGCCCTCTCTCGATCCTCACTGACAATCTCCCCGCGGGCAAAAGGATCACGACCTAGGAGTCCCGGGACCCCGACAGCAAGTGACAGCACGAACAAAATGCCCATGATGATGAATGCGAAAATCCATTGGAACGCGATGACCTTGGTTAGGAATTGGGTTACGCCGATTGCTGGGATAGTTAGTGCTACTCTGCCCATAGGACGGGAAAGAGGGGAGAGAGGGGATTACCAGCTGCAAGGATAGACAGTTCAAAGCCCATGGTATAGTCTTTGAATGCGACGAGGAAGAAAACACCGTATGCGAGAATCCCCCAGATGAAGATGTTTGCGACAATGCGCGCAGGCAGATTATGAGCATCTACCATAACCGCACCGCACCAGTAGAGCGCGACGAAGTTCCATGCCAGCGGGCCACTCACAGTTGAGATGTGAATGATGCGAGGCGTAGCACTGTGGCGGAAATAGGCAAATGAGAGGTTGAAGAAATTGATGATGAGAAGGAGTTCGGCGAGCCAGAAGTACGAGCGTACCCAGAGGTGGATGAAACCAAAGAGGAGGAGGTTGTTGACGATGAAGTGTGAGCCTACATTAGCGGCGGCGGCTATGTAGACATTGTTGGAGGAGTAGAGGTGCCAGGAGTAGGCGAGTTGCAGGATGAAGAGTATGAGCCTTGAGGCGTGTGGTTAGCGGCTCAGATGCTCTAAACTTCTCACAGTTCACAAGCAGGTGGTGACGTGGAAGTTGAATGATCTTACCAATAGACGCTGACAATAATGGCATTCATAGCAAAAGGACTCGGATGCGCATGATTCTGACCCCAGATCGTTCTCCGTTCATACTTCCCCTCATGCGGAGCATTGAAGGTGTAGTAGAAGGACGTGACGACGATGATGAGCCAAGTCACAGCGGTAGTGATCTTGTACGCGAGGATGGATTTGCGGGAGAACTCATCATGGCGACTGAAGGGGTTGACTACAGTGCTCTCGTTATCCGTGGGATTGTTCTCGGAACCAGAAGTAGACACGCTTGGGGTGAGGTTTGGAGAGTTGGAACTAGAGAAGAGCTCGTAAGGAAAATAGTACCTACGGCGGTTGATGCCTCGCTGGGCACTGTCTGCGGCTCCGTTCTCCGGCATGAGTTCGAACGATTGGGGTAGATTTTTGATAGCTGTGTGAACGGGTGGGGTTAGTTTTCTGAGAGTTGTACGAACGCGTGGAGAGAAGAGGAGTGGAGAAAGGAAAAGGAAGGCAGAGAGTAAGATGAACAAGAGACTGTTTGTTTAGTGGTATGGCGCTAGCACGGCTTTGTAGTCAGGTCATTGAAACCACGTAAAGGCAGGTACGTCATTCTAGCACTGCTTGGCATCTGGTGCCCAAGTCCAAGCTTCCCCGCACTTTCTTTTCCCCTGCACACCACCACCACGCCGCATGACATGCCACACCGACATTCACTGGTCCACGGCTCGCTACAAGAGGGTACCTTGTGACAGTTTTCGAGCGGGGCATGCCGCGTCGAGCATCAAAGAGAGCGTGTGTTCCCGCACCAGGCGCCCGGAAAAGCGAGACCAATTGAGCAATTGAGCAATTAATCAAAGAGGGTCCCGGGGAAGTGACATGACATTCGATTCCAAGGCCAAAACTCCGAAACACTGCAATAACCCTGTTCCCGCATGCAAGCACACAACATTACACAAGCGGGTATCTCTAGCAAATGTCCGCACCCACAGGATCCCGTCCCTTGCCGGGGAGGGAAAACAGCTAAAGAGCGAATGAAAACAGGGAAAAGACAGAATTATAGAACAATGATGGGCAACTGAATCGTGGCCATCGAAGATCACACATTGCCATGCCAGGAGCTGGGCGAGGGCAAGACATCCAAAATCCCACGAACGCCAGAAAAAGCACTGTACTCGCCCAGTATCCTCGGCCAATCACAAACCCTGGAGCCTAGCACGAACAACATCACCCACTTCATTCTTCCCTGCTGCGCCATCCCGGCCACAAGCACGGAAACGCAAGCGTTGTGTTTCAGGAAGAAACCCGCGCATTGAATTGATAGATGCTCGTCTTCCGTTGATGAAGTCCCTAGACGAAGCTGGCAGACACGAACTCGCCCTGCAGTGAAAAATCTATCGTGCAGGTGTCTCGGGCACCTCCCAAATATCCATCTCCTTCTCTCCTTCCCTGCTCTTGATCGTATCACCTGTATTATGTTGACTCATTGGCACTGACGCAACATTCGGGTTCGGCGCAAATGGGATTGCCCCGTTGGCTGTAAATACGGGCAAGTCTTGCCGTTTGCTAGGCGTCATTGGTGGTGCTGCAGGAGCTGCAGTTGTGGGGAGCGCGGCATCTGTGTTCGGAGGCAGCCATTGCAGTGGTGCCTGAGGCTCGATTTTGTTCGCCTGATTGGTATTCAGTGAAGAGGATACACTGAATGTGTGTGCGCCATAGTTGACGAATTGCGCAACGTTTGACGGTGGCGGTGGTGGAGGTGTATCGGGGCGAGGCGGAGAGGTCGTCATGGGCAATGGGTCGACAGTCGTGAAGGACGACTTGGGCAGTTGGTCTGGGGAAATGTCCATCTCTGCCAGCTCCGTTGGAGGATTGATTACTTCGCCGGACGTTCGTGTGTCGGCCGCTGCGACAGGAATCATGCTCTTGACTTGCTGTGGCTGCAGAGGCTGCCGTTGCTCGAGGGGAGGTGTTACCGTCTGGTCGATCTTTGGTGGCTCGGGCAAGATGGCTCCGTTCGTGGAAATGGGCTCTGGTGCGGGCTCAACTGGCGACGGGGGCTTGGGTGACTTGGTTGACCGTCCTGGAGCTCTCTTTGCTGCAGTCGTCTTTGTGGTGGCTGACTTAGTCGTCGTCTTCGTGGTGCGTGCTGCAGCTGGTTTTCGAGTATTTGTCTTTGCGGCAGCCTTCCTCGCCGCCTCAAGAGCCTTCAGTCTCTCCCTTGCCTCGTACTCTTCCTTTGATGGAAGCTTCAAGGTGATGCGCTTCAGGCCTGAAGTAAGTTGATCCATGTCATTCTCCTTCTCCTTGATGGAAGCCGTCTTGCTCAGATAGTTCGAAGGCACGCGTGGTACAGGAGGTTCGTTCTTTGGCGCGCGAGCTGCGGTGGAAGTAGTTCCTCTCGCCTTTTTCACTTGTACTCCATTGGTTGATGCACCTGGGGCTGGTGTAATGCTCTTCCGTCCTGGTGCAACGCTGGGTGCACGACTGGCGCTCCTATCACCATTGACGGATCCGATACTCGATGCAATGCTCATACGGCGCGACACCGCCCGGGTGGCTGCAGGAGGTTCTGCCACAGGAAAGTCTGCAATCGTCTTCCGTCTGTTAGCCCTCGATGTCACACGCGCAGCTGCCTTGTCGTCGTCTGAGTCTGGGTCAGCATAAGATGTAGTTAGCTTCCTGCCTCGCAGTTGCCTTCCAGATGGGTCGACTCGGCTTGAAGCAGGGACTGGAGCTGGCTTTTCCTTCTTGACTTTCGGTTCCGTGAGGTCTTCCAGCTTCCAGCTTCGAGTTTGTCGGTCAGTTGGGATCAACAGCTTACTCAAAGCGTGAGCTGCTGTGGCCCAATCGACATCTGGTGGAGGTGGCGATGGGGCTCGAGAGGGACTGGCCGATATATATTTACCAGACACGCTACGATGAAGCTTGGCTGGATCGACGACCTTCGCGGTGAAGGATTGGGTTGGGGACGAATAAGTTTGGGTAGGGCCTGTTCGTGGCTTCTTTGGCGCGACGATTGGTGGTGGGTTAACCAGGCGTTCGAGCTCGATCAAACTCGAATCATGCCACCAGCGAGGATCATATGTGACTGGGGTCTGTTCGGCCTCTGCTGACGGGATGGGGATATCCTCCTCGGCCAGACTCAATCCTCCAAAACGACGGCGCATATCTTGCGCTAGCCCGTTCGAAGGCATGGTGTTGGAAAACACTTGACCATCGCAAAGACCGCTCAAGTGGCTGAGAACACCACTCGTCAAAGCTCGGTCACTATAGCCTCCTTCGAGGACAGAGATGACCCTGCCCTCTACACCTGTGTCGACTTCTTCGGCGATCCGTACGACGTCTCTGGTGAATCGAGCATAGAATTCGGTGGGGACATTAACGCCATGTCTCTGCATGCCTGAGCTCTCCCATTCACTCGCGTCGAATCCGGCAGAGAGGAAAATGGCGCCTTTTGGCGGTGGGTGGTTGGTAGAAGTTCGCAGACGATGGGTGTGGACCTTCAGATATTTCCGCGCCTTCTCGAGCAGAGCCAGATACTTGTCTTCGTAGATTCTCCAAAAGTCATCCATATCTTTCCATCCGTCTAGATGAATGTTCCATATTGACTGGCCGTGTGCATTGTCGATGCAAAGACTTGCCGATTGGATTTTTTCGTCATCGCCCCATTCGCACGGGAAAGAATTGATGTCATGCAAGCTGAAGTATCCAATGGAAAATTTCTTCGAGTTTGGCGTGTTCTTCGGCATGTTTTGAACCTTCTTGTTTCGGCCCCAGGCAATAGACTGCGAGCCGTCTCCATGGTGCAAGTCGAAGTCGATGATAGCTGCGTGCGTCAGCCCGTACTGCGTGAAGGCATGCTCAATGCCGACGTGTACGTTGTTAACCCAGCAGAATCCAGATGGAAAGTCGGCAGAGCAGTGGTGGCCAGGGGGTCGGACGGAGACAAATGCGCGAGATGGTCCACTTCCAATTGCGGTACCTTGGAATACTGCGTCAACGGCATCCAGAACGCCACCCAGAGCGCCCTGAAGTGCATTAAGCGACTCCCCGCAGAGGTACAGATCTCCTTCGTGGAAAGCTTCCTTGGGTGGATGGCCTGGTAGTCTCAGCCCCTCCCTAGCCAACTCTTTCCCAGTGGATGCCAGTTTCTTCTCGGCATTCATACACATAGTCTTCAGTTCTTCCATCCACTTAACGCCGTGTACGTTGGTGACTACGGGTGATGTGATATCTACTGTTCGGGAGGTCTTGCGAATCTTGAACGGAATTTGGTCCGAGGGGTTTCGGTAAGGGTGAGGAGGGTTACTTCCTCCAGCATGGCGTTCTCCAAGCCGCACATAGGCGGTAGATATGCCCAACACGCTGGCCAGTATGCGCTCGGGCCGCTCAACAATCAAATTCAAAGTGCCCTTTGGCGCCTTGGACCTCGAAAAACGGTGTCCATAGCATTGGTCATGCACAATGACTATCGTTCCAGCTGTCACTGCACCTGCCATGCCTTCGTGAAGGCCAAGTTCCTTCCTGAAGTAGTCGTCGGCCACATCGCAGGCTCGGAGCGGGGGTTTCTCCTCGATCTCAGGCAAGACGGGTTTAGCTCCGATGGGCGACGGCATGTTCGGATTGAAGGACGATCGACGTGAAATTGGTGCTCGCGGTGTTCCTGGCATATCGCCTCGCAGCGATGAGCTCGAGGACTTTCTTGCTAGCGCGGGGGAAGCAGATCTGTTGAGGCTAGCAACACTGGAGCTTCGGCGCAGCGAGCTAGACGGGTAACCGGGCGAGGAGGGCAGCCGTTGAAGGTCAGAGGCATATCGAGGCGAGTTCAGACTCGGTGATTGCGGTAGTGGCGTGTTGGCAGCCGTGTGGAGTGAAAGTCGCTTCAGGGAATTGCTAAGGAGGTGCGCGTCATTGTTTGTTGACGGTCGCGGAGATCTTGTTGCACCGTCACTGGATCCTAACGCAGAATATGAATGGTTCTGCATTGCGGCGGTGAGTATGCGCTCGGCGGCGCGTGTGTCGTCTGCGATGTGTGTATGTGATGGATTAGAGGGCGTGGAAAAAAAAGAGCTTAGTTGCAATGACGCCGGAATGTGTTGCACGCGGCAACCCCCAAACAAGTTCAGGCCAGCCAAGCCCCCAAGCGAGAGCGCGGGGACCTTCGAATCGACGATGGCACGGATGCATGCATACATGGTAGGGCTGACAGTCCTTTTTCCCGTCGTGCGGGAACTAGTGAATGCTGCTATCCTAAACTGGTGCCTTCCTTACTAACCGTGGAGGTTTCGATGCGCAAGGGTTACTTTGAATTATTTTGTATCTGTGAGCTCGAGGGTTCCACGATGGTCTGCCCAATTACTATAAACTTGTGCTTGGCGTCCCACCTAGCTCTCTTGACCCCTGAGTCCACAATACATGACTTCTCTCATAACTCATGCCCACTACAAGGCTACAATATCAAATGCCCTTGTGCATCACCCTTTGGTCAACTAGAAGAGTGTACTAAAAAAAAGGGGGGGGGCGCTGTTCAGAAGAGAACCAACTTTCAGCATGTTAACACCAATACTAGAAAAATATGGTCTACTATGCAACAAATATTGGCATACTCGTAAAGTTCTTTAAAATCTAGCAAGGGGTTTTGTAGATTGAATGCGCTCAAGCAGTGCTCCGTAATATGCAATAAAATGCTGTAGTATAAAAGAAGCTCCACCTCTTCCAAGCTGCGCTCTTTGTAACATCTCGTCCAACCCCCACTACAGATTCCAAATGCCATTCTTCTCTACATCAACATATTATTTCCTCATAGCGTTACGTAGTTCGGGGTTTCTCAAAGCTTATTCGCCTAGGTTCCCTACACCTTCTATCTTGACTAGAACGACATAGCTCCTCACCGAACTCGCCGCAGAAGCATAAGTAGTAATGACGAGAGGCCCCTTAGAAGCCCATGATGCCTAAGCTCATGACTACGTCCTCGCTTCTGGGTTGAGGCTTGTCGCACTAGTAGTTATACGCTTCAACCCGTGAATATGTATGCTGACGTTCTTGCCAGACATCGAATCTCCTTGCCGTAGTTCTTATTTCACCAGCTTGTCTTTACTATCATACTTCTCCTCTATTTCCATCGTACCAACTCTACGAGTTTCACATCGTGTGTCACCTTGTTCCCACACCTCCCCCTCTTTCCCTCTTTCCTCCATGTCTCCTCCTGCGCTATCCAGCCATCATACAGCGGTAGGGACCCCTATGAAGCAGTCCGACAGCTGATGTTCTTGCTACTCTTCGTACGGAATGCTTTGACGTCCCCACTGCGATGTCAAATCAGTTTACATAGATTGGTCCAGCACTAGTGTGGCTGTCTATCCCATAGCACTTGAAGTGATCGCCTGTCTAGACATTAGAAAGGTTAAAAGAGATGTTTCCTTTGCACGAGGTGGGCTTTAGATGAACGAGGCTAGAGAACTTGTTACCGATGCCGCGCAGGTGGGAGAAGGTCGTGCTGTGAAATCTGGATTTGGAGGGACGGCATGTCGACTGAGGCCGCGCGGATTTGATGTTCGATTGGGTACATGCAATTGACTTCGGTGACTGAGAAATACCAGTCGATTTGCGTCGACAGATGTGGTTGCGACTTGCGAATTCGAGCAGTGCTTGAGCAAGGGGGTTCACTATATTTTCGGGATGGCCAATGACCGACACAGCTCTAGTGAATGATGAGCGACGATGTAAGCTTGTACTCATTCAAGTACTCGATGTCGCACGTATATTTTCCCTCTTATATATGTCTTTCTGCTGTGCTCGGCCGGAGGCTGACCTTTACCACTTGCAACACTCGTTCTACCCTGCAAACCAGCCTCATGTCCATTTACCTGCGAAACCTGGAGGAGCTTTCCCAGCTGACGCCCTCAATAATGTAATGGGTCCTGTCCTCCCAACTCAGAGTGAATTGACGCGATCGCAACCCGATTCTACTCCTCCATGGCTTGCTGAAGAACCACTCCAGGCCCATTAAAAAAAGGACCCTGTGGTGGGTCCCCTGCCACGGCACCATGTGGCCTTCCCATCTTATGGCGAGTCGTCTCGTATTGAAGAAGTTGCGGCAAGGAGGAAGCGGTAGGGGGTTAGAGTAAATCTTCCGGCCTAGTCGAGTCATAGTCGGATCTCGAGCCCAGACAAGCGAGAGAACCTGGCTGAAGAGTTCATAAACCGGAACGTGTCCACTGTGAATGAGCGGCGCCCCGTCATCGTGAATGGTAAGTGTTAGCTTCTCCGTGAAGATCCGGAAGAGTGGCGATACGTAATCCGGAATATATGTGGCGACCTGCTCCTTGTATGCGGGCTGAAAAACTGCGCGGGGAATTGCGACGACTAATTCTTGTACTTTTCCATCTTCTATAGTAGCCGAGACTTGGAGTGGGTGTTTGGGAAATTCTTCTTCCCAATGCGCTTTGACGAGCCCAATGATCGGCTGAGAGGGCATGGACTCCATCTCTTTCTTAACCTGACGGCAGCAGAGGAGAAGGTGATCCCAGGTCGACAGAGGCTTCTCGTCGGGCTCGTTGACTAGAGACGAAGCAAAGACGTACATATATATCTCGTTTCGGATCTCTAAAGGAAGGTTGAGCAAGCGGGACTTCCTTTGCGGCGTAGGACGGGGATTCAAGCCGAATAGTCGGATCAGAATCATCTTGACGACGATTTGCAGTCAGGAACACCTCCGGTTTTATTTTATTTAATCGTGGCGCTTCGCATGCAAACACTAGACGGCTAGACTAGATGTGAGCTTAGGAATTTCTTGATTGACTCCGCTGCAGGCTGTGAGTCTGATTTCGTCGTATGTTCTGCGTATTTAGAACTACGTGAGTAGTGCACAAGAAACCCGAATCACTACGAAAGGCTAAAGAGAGAAAACCATAAGACTTGGGCTTCACAAACGGAGGGATAGGGTGGTGACTGATCTGGATGATGCCTAATGCACGGGCCACATTGTGGAGAGACATCCATGGATGGTAGGGCGCGCTAACATCGTGGTACAACCTTAGCAGCCACGATGTTATTGGACATGGTGATCCGCGCTCAGTAGCAGGACCTGTAGCGCAACAACGAACAGAATTTGGAGCAATTGACAACAGCGAGCGGACTTGCTCCATTTCAGCTTCTGACTAGATTTGTTTACTCCTTGTCGCTTATCCGCAAAATTAATCCTTTTACTTCCTAGCGGTTTCTGTTAAAATATAATAATAAGGTGTATAGAATTTGCCAGGATGTCGATCGTAGCGAAACGAAAAAAAAAAACTATTTTCTTCAAGACACAAATTAGCATTATTCTCCTCTTCCCCAGCCCTTATTCTAGGATATTTAATGCATGAGGGTAAACTTACGAAGGTTGTACAGAAGGAGCTAAAACCTCAAGCATCTATTGTAGCTAACTGCCTCAAGCATATGAGAGACATGATGTGGATGCTAACGCTAATATTGCAGATTTAAGTTAATTAGTGGACGAATGGATCATACTATGCCAAAACAAAAACTCTAAAACACTATAAAGAAAAGCTAAACTTGTCTATTATAATAGTGTGCTATAGTCCTTCTAGAATTTCTATTAGTTGCAGTAACCTGTATAGTGTAAGGACGGAGCTCTGTACCACTACGCTAATACAACTAAAAAGGTGCGAATAATCAACCAACGTTGATTGTTGCGTACAGAATAGTATATATACCCGTCGCACGTAAGCGCCATCTCGGCCTTACATATAGTAGGTGTCTTAATAGCTTGTTCCTGTAGCAATCTGCGCATTCTCCTTGTAACAATTCTCATGAATCGTTCCATCTCAGGTCGCTCGGAACCTATCTAAAGGGTCCCTGTATTGGCCCCAACCCTAACTTAACCCTGTCCCCTGCAGTTACCTCTATTCTCTTAAGTATTTAGTCACACCTCTTCCCTTAGCTAGCTTAGTAGTTTTCTAATATCCTTTTATACAAGGCCTATAGGTGTTAATAAAATTCCTAGGTTATTAAGTCCCCACGCACTTCTATATGCCTCTAAGTAGATTCCTACTGCATTTAGACCCATTGTCTTGCCTGCGCTGTTACACTTCTATAACTTCTGTTGTAATTGTTCTATCTTTTTTAATGCTATATAAGTGTTGTAGCCTTTTGTTACAATCCTTGCTTTGGGAAGCACTCGGGTCTATAATATTCCTACGGGGAAAGTAGGTCGGATGGTAGGGGCCAATTGGTAGGGTGTACAGTCCTACTTATGGGCTAATGGGCTACTGGAGGGAGGTAGAGTGACCGGATCGTGGTTTGCCCTGTATGCGGCAGTATAGTGGCCAGGTTAAACAGTTCTGTTAAACAGGATTAGAGGTATATATAGTGCAAGATATATAAATAGTATTATAGCTTTTTAAAAAGCTAAATGCTACTTAGTCTATGTAAGAAATAAACTAAATGTTAAACACACCTTTCTAAAAGGCTGTTTATTACAAAACTATATACATATACAAAAGGTGCTAAGATAAGTTAGGGTAAGCTTCTTAAGCTAAGTATGCTGCTAACTTACCTTAACTTGCTTAACTCTAGGGATTTACGTCCTTTCCTTTTATTAGATAGCGCACTCTTCTATTATTATAAGCATTAGTGCTGCCTTTGTATCCTCTAATTAGTCTATAAGCAAACCCTGCTCTAACCTGGCTAAATTATAGAGCACTGCTAGTGGAGTTACGCTGGTCTAACTATAGATTGTAACACGCTGCCCCTCCTCCCTAGCAGCGTCCTCGCCGCTCTGCTTACATAACTGTGTTAGTAAGGGTTTGTTTATAAAGTAGGCGTCTGCCTACTAAAAAGCATTTTTAGCATTTACTTTTTTTATGCTAAATAGCTTATTAGTCTTATTTATTTTATTATTTTTATGTTGCCCTTTGTTTTAATCCTTTTTATTAAATAAAAATAAAACTTTATAGTGCTTACTAGTTATTAGAGTTATTTTATGTACTAACTCTGTTATTAGACAAATGCATTAAGTGTGTAAGAAAAAATAATAGATGTAACACTTTTATATCTAACACTATGTAAGAGTGCTTAGAGAGAGAGAGAGAAAAGCTTTTTTAGTCTACTAAGGCTTTATAGGCCTAGGACTGCGTCTTATTAGATAAATAGCTAGTTTATAACTAAAAATAGCTTTATTTATAGAAGAAGATGCTAGTAGTAAGAGATAAAAAGTGTTCTAAATAAGATTATATTTAAAAGTTACTAGACTTGCTAGAGGCCTATTACACTAAGTATCTAAAAAGGGACCTTTTTTTTTTAGATAAAATAAAAGCCTTTAAGGCTAAAGTAGAGAGTTGTCCTTCTTTATAGCCTTTATTAGTAAGCACTTGTCTCTAAAGGCTGCTGCTATTTAGTAATAACATAGCTATTTTTTTTAAGATAAGTGCTTTATTACCTAGCTAGTTTCTTTTAGATAAGCCTAGAGGTACTTTTATACTAATAGCTGCGTGTTCTATAAATTCTTAGCTAGTTTTTATATGTTTTTACTAGTAAGCTATCTTTTTTATTTTACTAAAAACTTTTTTTTATTTCTTTAGTTACTAATAATGTGTTTAACTTTATATTTAGCCTCTTTGTTTTTTTATTTTTATGTAGATAGAGGAATTTTTTTAAGTGCTTTTTCTAATTTAGAGATGTAAAACTATAGGTGTATCTTTATGTATAGGGGAAGCTTAAGTTTGTAGTTGTCTTGTTAGGTTTATAGAACTTTATATAGTCTTATTTTTTTTCTGCTAGCTTCTAGAAAGGTCTAGATATCTTAAGGTTCTTAGTGTTAAGGTAGACATAGTCTCCTAGGTAGATCTCTAGTCTTAGTTATTATAATTTATTTATATACTGTTTTATTATTTCTTAACTAGATCTAGCTTTAATTACTAACTTTTTATATATATTTTATAAGTTTAGTAACTAGTCTACTAATTTTTAAAAGTTTATAGGCTAGTTTCTTTATAGTTTAAAATATAAGTTGTAGCTAAAATTAGCTTTATATAGTATTTTTTTATTATAGTAGATTCTATAGTGTTAATAGCTAACTAAGCTATTAGAAGCTATTCTGCCTAATTATTCTAGGTATGTAAGATGTACTTCCTTAGGTATTTCTCTACTTTAGCATTTACCCTCTCTGTCTAGCTGTCTGTCTGTAGGTGGTATGCTGTAGATAGTTTATGCGTTATGCTAAGATGCTGCATAGCTGCTTTCTAGAATCTGCTAGTAAACAGTTTATTCCTATTAAAGATAATAGTCTTAGGACATTTATACACTAATATAACATTTTATTTAAGTTTATATATAAATTTTTTAGCTATTATTGTTTTTTTAAGGGCTAAGTGTATAAATATTTAGTAGTTTTATTAAAAGCTACTATAATTATATTACACATTCTTTCTATTTTTAGTTCTCTAGATAAGGGAAGTCTTATAATAAAGTTTATAGTAATTATTATCTATAGTTACTTTAAGGCTTTAATTAGTTATAAGTATCTATAAGCCTTATACTTTTATAAGTTATTTTTGTTGCAGGTGTTATATTTTCTAAGTACTTCTATGCATAGCTGTTTTACCTTTAGTATGCGTTAAAGTATAGCAGCCTTTAATTTCTTCTAAAAAGGGCCTATTTCTAGGTGTTTAAACATTAGAGACTTATAGTATTTATAAATTAAGTTTTTTTATTTTTACTTACTTACTATTAGTATGCAAAGTTTTTTTATAAGTTAAGGCTTATTATAAATCTATTCTTTATTAGTTTTTTTAAAAAAAGTAAATTTCTTAGTTCTTTTTTTTTTATTAAAGTAATCTAGCCTTTAGCTAAGAGCATTAGCCTGCTAATTTTAAGTCCCTAGAATATGTTTAATAGTGCAGTTAAACTGCGCAAGTTCTATTACTTATTAAACATGCATAAAGAAGAGTTTCTTTACTATTAAAAATGTAACTAAATTTGCATAGTTAGTTATAATATTAAAGAGTTTTACTATCCTATGTAGCTTTGTAGCCTATACTCTAACTGCGTTTAGTATTGCTTTAAGTTCTTTGTTAGGTATACTATAGCTAGCTTTAGGTCCTAAAAATTTAGCAGAGTAATAGGCTACTAGGTGCTATTTTCTATTCTCTTCTTTCTAATATAGTGTAGCTCTGCTAGCTTCTAGGGACGCATCTGTATAGATCTTAGTATCTAATTGTAGGTTGTATATTCTTAATACTAGTTTAGCTGTTATAGCTTGTTTTAGCGCTATAAATGCTTTACTTATTTATAAAGTTTAGACAAACTTTACTATTACCTATTTCTTAGTAGTAGTATTTATTAAGGGTATAGTAATTTTTAAGTAATTTTTAATTATTTATCTAACATATTTTAATAGTCTAAGGAATTCTTTAACTTTTTTAACTATTATAAGTTTTAGCTATTTAAGTACTTTTTATATTTTAGCTAAGTTAATTTTTATTTCTTTACTATTAATTATAAATTCTAGATATTCTATTTTAGTAATATAAAATTTGCACTTAGAGAGCTGCAGGTGTAGCCTATATTTTTTTTAGCTTTTCTAAAACTTTTTATACTTTCTGTACATAGTCCTCTAGAGTATCCTTTAAATAGATAAGGACATTGTCTAGGTATACTAGGGTAAAGATATTAAAGTAAAGGTTAAGAGCTATATTAATAATTTACTAGAATGTTACTAAAGCGTTTATTAAGCTAAATAGCATTACTAATAATTTATAAAGTCTTTATAAAGTTTAAAATACTATAAGCTACTTATTCTTTTTTTTTTTATCTTTATTTTATTAAATCTATCTTGTATGTTAAACTTTATAAAATACTAGGTTCCTTTTAGTTAGTTTATAATGTCTTATATAATTAGTAA